GATGCCCGATGGAAGGGGCAAACGATGTCGAGCAACCGAACTTGACCCTTGGTGGATCTGCATTTTCGTTGGTTTGCTTAGCAAACAGAAAATGTTCAGTTTTTAATCTGTTGCGAAATTTTCATCCGTCAAAACTATTGCAAAATATGTACATATTTACGAGAGAAAAAGTTAGATGAAACAGCGGCATTTGAAATTCTTAACACGATGTTAATGTCAGTATTTATATACGAACTTTCGCTGTGTTTTAACGAAAGGAATGCCGTACCGGTATTCCGTTATGAGCATCAAGGAATTTCTTCTTGCTACAATCATAAATTGCATTTTTTACTATTACACACGTGAAACTATTCGCCTGTATTGTTACCCGCCAAATTTTCTATGTTTCCATGTAAATTGAACTTTTAAAATATGAATTCAAATATCACGCCTTAAAAAAGCGCGCTCTTTTTTATCGCGTATTTTTAAACACTGAAATGGCGGGTCACTTCTTTTTTTATAATTCTATAAAGTTTCTAAACGCGTGCACGTTTTAAAACACAATTCATCTGTGGCGATGCTTTTAGTGTCACATGTTTAGAAACACGTGCGTGGAGGAAGCCTTCGAGCGTAGGTTAGATAGAAGAGCACGAAAAATAGCTTTGATAAACGTAACTCGAAACGGAACTGATAACGATTCATCGTATTTAGAAACTTAACAGCTTAGCTACCGTCAGAACAAAAAGCATTTAGGAACGCATTCATTTTTTCCATTAGCACGTTTCACTACTTGATATTCTGAGTCAGTGCTGCCTAAAACTTACGATACGATTTTCTCTTCCGGGAACTTTTTGAATCTTTTAAAAATTTATAACTAAACAATTAAGCATTGCGTATACTAATTGCGTACGCAGTTACTTGTTTTTCTCCCATTTAAATAAGTTACGACTGAACTGAAGAGGTTATCAAAGCGCAGTAACGTATCAAGCTATTTTCGAGTTTCAATGAACAGATTTCTTTGTACTTTGGTTCTTTCAATAAAACGATAAACACTGAAACGTCTTGTCTATCTACCCTCTCACGTTCCCCATTCCATTTAACTGCACTACTTGTCGTCGACAACATCGTTATGCCAAAACAATAATTCAAATCAACGTTGCGAATGGAGTAGCACTATCTATTGATCGTTACATAATTAAAATGGTCGTCTTATCGAGCCGAATGTTTCACGATTTCATGGTGTAATCTCCCTAGATGGAAATATACAAACGTGGAGGAGTGTTCAGTGTACTAGGTACTCTGACCGTACGAAGAGTGCGCGACTAATTCTTAAATTAAAATTATCTCTTGATAACCGTGATATTAAACGCCCGCACAGTACGCGTGTGGAACAAAGAGTCGTAAGAGCGCGCATTTACCACAGTGATTCTAGGAAAAGCCTTCGCTGTATATATTCTTCAGATATTTAATATAAAAAATAAAAATAAAATCGACATGAATCACGAATGGAACCAGTTGGCGGTACAGAAGGAGCCACCTAAGGAACTTCGAACTAAGCTGCAGTTACCGGTAAAAACTTTAATGGGCCCTGGACCAACTAATTGTTCCGAGCGAGTTCTTCGCTCCCTTCGGAATCAAATTATCGGTCATCTTCATCCCGAAATTTGTCAGGTAATCGCTGTTGTACATTCGCAAAATAAATAACGGAATTAAACTAACAGCCGATTTATAGATAATGGATGAAATCAAAATTGGATTGCAATACGTATTCCAAACGAAAAACAGACTAACTTTGGCGCTTAGCGCGTCGGGTCACGGTGGCATGGAGGCATCCATAGGAAATTTACTCGAACCCGGTGAAACTATACTGATCGTGAAAACTGGCATTTGGGGTGAACGTGCGTCCGACATGGCCAATCGAATTGGGGCTAATGTACGCGATATTTCATTGCTACGATTAGCTTTTCGATTTAGTTTTTAATTTATGAAATTCAATGTATAGGTTGAATTGATAGAAACGCAACATACCATGGCTGTCACGTTGGATCAATTGGAGACTGCCTTGGCAAAATATAAACCGGTGGCTGTCTTTATGGTTCACGCAGAATCCTCTACAGGTCTGAAACAACCACTGGAAGGTGTTGGGGATCTTGTCCACAAGTATTTCTATCCAGCATTTGACAATTTTTAATCTAGAATTCTAGATGTCACTCTATTCATCCAACTTACTTAAGAACCGGTTCAAATTAATTAAAAAAAAAAAAAAAAATTCTTTCCCAGATACGATGCTTTGCTTATCGTGGACGCCGTTGCGTCATTGGGCGGCGAACCGTTCTTCATGGATGCTTGGGGCATCGATGTGGCTTACACAGGCAGCCAAAAGGTTCTCGGCGCCCCACCAGGGCTCACTCCTATTTCCTTCAGTCCTCAGGCTGAGTACGTATAGTCGTTTGTCTCGCAGTTTTCTCTTTTTAACCGCAACTGAAAAGCCGCCGAGGAAATAGTCTGAGAATCGGGACTCCGAGTGATCTCCTCGGAATATCAATCGAACCTGAGGTCATCGCTGTGACTCGCGTGGCCTACTAGTCCCATCGGTGATTCATAATGGGGAATATAGCTGATGAATTCTTATTTCATGACACCCTGATGGCTTTCAAATTGACCAGTAGGTCGCACAGAGCGGAGTCAAAATGTTGAGGCTAATTATTATTTTTCACGCCAATCAATTGTAGTTTGATTGACAAATTATCAATTTCTCAATATTGATTTTTATCAAAAGTTGATGGGGATTGGTTTGATGTCACAACAGAGAGAAGCTGTTCCGAAGGAAAACCAAACCATGCTCCTACTATTTGGACATGTTGATCCTAGGCGTTTATTGGAAATGTTTCGGGAACGAAGATCGCGTGTATCATCACACGACAAGTGCAACATTGTTGTACGGTTTGAGAGAGGCTTTAGCAGAAATTGCAGAAGAGGGTCTCCCAGCATCTTGGGCCAGACACGCGGCTGCAGCTGCCAGATTAAAAAAGGGTCTTGAATTACGAGGGCTTCGATGTTACGTGCAAATTCCACGGTATCAATTATCCACTGTGATCTCTATAGAGCTGCCACCTGGCGTCGACGAGAAGATCATTGTGCAGCGGGCCATGCAAAAGTAAGTCAGTCATCTTAACTTTATCATTTTTAATACAATTCTTGTCATTTCATCCCTTTCATAATTAGTAGAAGCATAAGTTTTCTTACCATAAACCGGGGTAACTTTGGGACAGTACTATTTTCCACTGAAAAACACTAAAAAATTAATCTGATATACAAAATATGTTATGCTTTTTATGTTTCTGATAATTTTCTAATTCTTTAACATTGAAAATTTTTCGCCGACCAATTTGTTCAGGCTGATTGATCTTTTGAACTATTTCGTCCTTCGAATAATGAATTTCATCGGGCTTATTTGGCCGTTTCCAGTTCGTGGCTGATTTCGCCATGACAGATATGAGTAATTGGTCATTTTTTTTAATCTTGGTGATCCGGCCCCAGTAAAGTCCACCCTTGTACCGCACTAGAACATAATCGCCCACCTTCAGATCCTCAAGGAAACTTAAAGGTTGTGCGATTTGCGCCGATGTAAGCTGCTGTTCTAAGTCGCTAAATGCTTTGCTATTGTTTTAGTGCATTTCGAAGTCGGTTGTATTTTTTGTTAAAAATTATTTCATTTCACACTTTTTAGTGCATTTCGAAGTCGGTTGTATTTTTTGTTAAAAATTATTTTATTTCACACTTTTTAGTGCATTTCGAAGTCGGTTGTATTTTTTGTTAAAAATTATTTTATTTCACACTTTTTAGTGTATTTCGAAGTCGGTTGTATTTTTTGTTAAAAATTATTTTATTTCACACTGTTTAGTGCATTTCGAAGTCGGTTGTATTTTTTGTTAAAAATTATTTTATTTCACACTGTTTAGTGCATTTCGAAGTCGGTTGTATTTTTTGTTAAAAATTACTTTATTTCACACTTTTTAGTGCATTTCGAAGTCGGTTGTATTTTTTGTTAAAAATTACTTTATTTCACACTTTTTAGTGCATTTCGAAGTCGGTTGTATTTTTTGTTAAAAATTATTTTATTTCACATATTTTAGTGCATTTCGAAGTCGGTTGTATTTTTTGTTAAAAATTATTTTATTTCACACTTTTTAGTGCATTTCGAAGTCGGTTGTATTTTTTGTTAAAAATTATTTTATTTCACACTTTTTAGTGTATTTCGAAGTCGGTTGTATTTTTTGTTAAAAATTATTTTATTTCACACTTTTTAGTGCATTTCGAAGTCGGTAGTATTTTTTGTTAAAAATTATTTTATTTCACACTTTTTAGTGCATTTCGAAGTCGGTTGTATTTTTTGTTAAAAATTACTGTATTTCACACTTTTTAGTGCATTTCGAAGTCGGTTGTATTTTTTGTTAAAAATTATTTTATTTCACACTTTTTAGTACATTTCGAAGGGGATCGGCTGGACATTGGAAAGCCAAAAGCATCCTCTGTCCCAAAGTTACCCCGCCCGTCCCAAAGTTACTCCGGTCTACGGTATTTCAAAATTTTTTAACAGTTATGTTATTGTTCCATTTGGATTAGGTATAAAGTTGAAATCAGCAGAGGTTTGGGACCAACTGTAGGGAAGATTTTACGAGTTGGATTGTTAGGAATAAATGCTACACCCAAAAAGGTGGATTTTCTTCTACGTGCTCTTGACGAAGGCCTCAGATATGCTAGGCAATCAAAATTGTAATCATCCAAATATCTTCATCGGCTCGAAGAGCGTACGGGTTGTGGTGCTACAGGCGTTTACCAACTCCAGAAACGTGTTTCGGTCAATTACACCGGTTACACAGACGATTAATCGTGTGTATTCGTTTATTAATGGAAATACTGAAATCGGCGTACAATTACTTTTAATATAATTATATGATTTATTGCATTAATTAGCAATATCAACAATTAGTTGTTCGCTTCTCTTTCTTTTTTTTTCATTCTCTCTCTCTCTCTCTCTCCTTCCATCTGCATGATATGAATAATAATACACATACATATATCCAATCGTACGTGTAATACAGTTGCAACAATTATGATTAATTACGATTTAATTGACAATCGTTTTGGCACAGTACAGAATAACGTTCTATTTCCATGCTCCTCTTCTCTTTGATTCTCTTTAATTCTCTTTCACGATTTATCTCGTGTTAAAAAAAAAATGTAATTTTAATCCATGTGTAACACATTTCGAAAGGCATTTTTGGTTCCATTTCACGATTATAGCACAATTCATACGAGGCGTAACGTTTGTTAAATACTGCCAATTACTTTCATTGTTAATTGAAGTATTTTAAGGCACTAGATCGCGATTCTTAAACAATTTACATACGTTTACAACATTGTAAACGTTTAGATATAGTGTCTTAAAAGGACGATATTAAAAACTCTTCCCTTCTTGATAAAACAAGATCGGATATACCATGCACGTTGTAACGGGGGATGACTTTAAATAACCGTGAAGATAATATTTATAATATAATGACGATAATATAATAGTAATAGTAGTAGTATTAAAATAGAAGAATAGATTAATATTGATAAGGAGCACCGTCGAAGAATTCATTGGTTCGACGAGCCACGGATGAAGAAGTGACGCTAATAGTTACATATAAATATTATTAATAATTAGAATAATCGTGATATTGGATAAACCATTAACTTATCGTCTATTATATACGTCTATGTACAAAATATCGAAATTCGATCATCATTAAGGCCTCTACTGCGAACAGCTACCCTCTAACAGCGTTGACTAACTTGTACATGCACGATGATTAAGGCACGATTACTTTGAATCTTTTCGAAATTTCGACTACGTTTTCATGGATATTCTAGTACCATCGAACGATGGTATTTTGCGAAAAGGAAGACAATTTTAATTATTGAGGCTTCTATCCTGTAGAGTCTGCTTCGTGTATGTTGCATAACGAGAGTAACATATAGAAAATTATTTAAGCCTCCTGTAAAAAGCTGCGCAATGTAGCCCATGGATAATCGTCAAATGAATAAAATAAATAAAATTAATACCGGGTAATCCATGGTATCTGCAGTGAATGTATTAACAAAGTCAGCCATCAAAATTATGCTTACGGAGGTAGGAACCGTGAATAGCGATTTTCAGTAGCAGGTCACAGTATGCTTGTGTTCACTTTCTTGTCGCGAACCTGTTGGCCATGTAAACAGTTACAGTTTCACGGTATTGGAGAAAAGAAAAAAAGTATCGCGTTGAAAGTGTTGAAAGCAAGCAGGCCTACCAGCTGCCACGGCTACGCGCAAAACCGCTACCCCTGATTTCTTCTCGTCTTTCATCGGTGATCAAGTCACCGCTCGTTTTCCGCAAGCTTGCTCGAACAACTGTTTCAGACACTTAGATTAGATGACTGACAATGTATAAAAAGATTAGATCCTGATAATTAACCCTAAAAAGATGGAGTCCTCTGCCACTTATCCCCAATGCTCTCCTTGGAAATTTTCAATATTTTCTAATTAATAGGCTCGATGGGTTTCCAAGGTTAATAATTAACGCTATAATTTTGTAAAATTCTAAATAAAAATGAAATACTTCAACGACAATTTTTTTTCTCGTTATGCAACAACTTTTGCGTTACGAGGCTGAACACGTTTCCTTTCTCACTTTGAGGACGTTTCTTCAAAGACAAAGACAAGAAAGCAGAAGTCTGGCCATGTTTCACAAACACCCTTTACACGATCTATCCTCTACTCGTCACCGCGAAATTCGTGGTTCAAAAGATTCGGCTACTTCCACAAACACACACGTTTAAAAAACTGACGCACACCTAAACACCCATTCACTGACAACGACTATTCAAGCATTACGTTTAAATTAACGCAGAAATACTCCTCTGTAAATTCGACAAAGTCCTCTATCGAAATTACAGTCACGAGTTCGCCATTGAATAACTTAGAGAACCTAACAATAAATAAGCTTATAACTTACAAAAAGAAAGAAAAAAAAAAGAAAGAACAAATAGGCTTATAAAACGAAGAGCGAAACCGTTTCGATGAGATTACAGGCGGTTTTTCAACTTGTTAACACTAGCATCAAGCGATGACAAAATAATAATAATAGCAGCGATATACTATTCGAAATAGTAATAGAAACATTAATAATAATATTGATATTAATAATATTAATGACGATTTCTATGACGACGAAATGAAACAACGATGAACGATAATGAACGGCGAACGATGAAACCATGAGACTTACGATAAGTGTAAAACGTTAACATCGTTAATATTAATAATAATAATAATAATAATAATAATATTAATAATCCGTAGCAACGATAAGTTGCATTGGAGTATAGATTTGATATAATATAATATAGTGTAAACGTTAGCGTGTTTCGCGCAATGATAACTGATGCCACCATCGGAGGTTTTTCAGTCTTCTTTGGTTGCTGGGTAACTTGGTGAGGTTGGTGGGTACGGTAGGGCTCTGCGTTTACCGCCTCGACTAAAATTTCCTTCTCTCTAACCCCCAGGCTTGTATCTCTCTCTTTCTCTCATTCGTTTCTCCTCGTTTTTCTTTTCTCATTTATTATAGTCGTGTACGTGTATGCATGTGAGGTTAGTCGAAGATAGAGAGCGGTTGGCTTCCGGTCCGTTGATCCGTTGATGAGAGCCAATTGATTAATAAACGTTTGACGGTTTATATGGGTGCGCTCCTCTGTGCTGGACTTGATAGCCGAATGACCGTGCAGTAGACTAAGAATATAACGTCCGACAAGAACGATCCACGTTCTCTCTTTCTCTCTGCTCGCATTACATTATTGTCAGTATTATTACCGTTCTTCTTATTATTATGGTTTCCTGTGATACTCGTCGATCATTCCAGACGCACGACTACTCTTTGATTACCATCTTCCGTTTCAACTATATTGCTGCCGAATAGAGGGCTTCGAAGTAACGTCGTTTGCGCTTAACGCGTATCGATAGACTCTCGTGTCTTTCTTACAATTTTTATCAGGCATGTTAATAAATTGTATCGAGCGATAGGAATGCGAGGAACACGGTTCCATTATAGAGGAATCGTTGCCGGACGTCGTAGCTGAAATTGGACGAGCCAGATCGTCGACGGAGGAGATGCCTGATACACTTGCCTCTGTCCAGATAGCCTCTCGTTAAACTTCTGTCCTCGCGTAAATTGAATTTTACAGCCTTCGTTATCTGGCCAACCTATACCAGGATACTGCGTATCGCTCGTAAACCCTAAACACGATCCCCTTATACCGTTTCTTTGATCCAATCTACAAGAATTGTAAGAAACGCGAAATTCTGTTCGCTAAAGATCCTCTCCCCGTTCTCGGTTCTTCTCCACCTTTGTTTCTACGCTGGTTGCTGCAGATCGAACGAATTTAGGATCAGACTGATAAGACCAAGATGCGAAAGAAACGACCACCAACTACGACTGCTCTATTCGAAGCTATACGGTTCTTCCATTTTTCTCTGAATCGACGACTGATCTCGTATCCGATGACTACCGAGAGAAAGACGGGCCGGGAACGTTTCCACGAAGCAGGACAGCTCGAAGGAGGCTCATTCGGACGGCTCGACTCAGCTGAGCTCCCGTGGCGTCACGGAATGCCGGGCCGGGTGGTGATTGTTGCGATGATGACGCCTCGCCCTACGACACTGCACCGTGCAGCAGTCGTCCACCTCCCCAACATACTCACCGCGTTTCATCTGATGGCTGATCGAGTTGCAGAGCGCCCGTGGACACCGCTTCCTGTCGCATCTCACCTCGCCATTCTGCAACGATCGGAAACGCAAACAAGTTTACTTTTAATTCACAGTATTTTTTTTTTTTTTTTAAGAAAATGTCCCTCCCTATCAAACTGTTATCGATACTGTTTAGCGGAACACAGAGAATGTTCGAGGCGATGCAACAAGTCGAGGATACTTTTTTCTTAACGTAATACTGGCGCGATCCGTGGCCGCGTTCCATTTTCATCGTAATGGATGGACCCTTTTAATGGTCGGTCCGGGCGAACGAGTCCGGTTAAAGGTTTTCTCCTTAAAGGTCTCTCGTCGTGGCCGTGTCTGGATATCGCAACGAGGCTATGCCACGATTCTAACGAGCGTACGCGACCAACAAGCAAAAATAAATCAACCATCGATCCAGCGTTTCTTTTACCAATAGACCTTCGTGTAATAATGAAACTTGATGCGTTACAATATTCTATAAACCTACAAATATTTTTACCAAATAAAAAGCTTAAAAAATCGGATGATTAAATATCAATCAAAGACGCGTTTATTTTACATCGGATCATCGGGTAATCTGTAGAAATGCTGATGTCACGAGGAATTGATGAAAAAAGAGCTGCGAATAGCTGGAAAAGATTGGAAAGACGGTGTGCGTTGCGGATCGTGTCGGACAGTAACTCGAAGCACGAGTGGAATGCAGCTGATGAGGGGTTAAGAGCGATCGTGTAAACCGGAAATTGTCGCGTTCGCCGAGTAAAGTACCGTGACGATCTCGTGCTACTAGTTCTGAACGGTACGCGTTCAATAGCGCTCGTTTAATACCTACACAGAATACCAGAAGAAACGTATTATTACGTTCGATCGAGGCTTTCCAGTCGGTTCTCTTGCGACAGTAACGAATAGCCTTTAAGGCTTTTCTTTATCAAGCCGCTGTGCAAATTTGTTGGCTAGTCGATCGTAAGGTAGCATCGATGTCCTTATCGTGGCGAACTCGTACTCCCGCAATATGGACGGCTCGTCCTGACACTCTTCTTTGCTCGCAATTGGCACGACTGCAAGTTGCACCACTATTTCTGTCAGCGTAACAGAAGTGCGCTACCGCGAATCGCGTCTTATCTTCTTACGCCTCTACAAATCATAAATTTCCCTCGGGCCAACAAGTGCATTACCGTTCCTCGCGACTAATTCTGTCCTGGCACGAATTAATTAACACGTCTCTAGGTAAACTACCTTGTAAACATTATCGATTCTTCTACATCACCGTCTAAGTGTTATCCACAAATTGCGCTAACAAGCATCGCGGAGACTGTAATTTAATTCGCAGGTGTAATTTGTGTACGCGAGAATTATGTTAATTCGATTGCACCACGTGCAATTTATATTCATACGTACGTAAACCGCTCGCTCTAATTTGATCGCTGAATTTATATCGGCGCGAAATCGCGGCGATTGTCTCATAAAGGCAATTTACGCGACCGCGAGTCGCACTAATCTTCCTACGACCACAAATTGCCGCAACGTTCCCGCATCACTGGCTAGAACGATCATATTCCCTCTCCCCCTTCCGGCAGTAATCTTCCGAAATTTCCGCGCCGCCGATTGCTCCCTCCGATCGAAACCGTTCGCATTCCGTTCGCGAAATAGTGGCCAATCTTGGCTGCAAAACCGTCTCGATCCTGGAACGCTTCTGATGCTTTCATCTCATCTTCGCCGCGCCGTCCTTATTGCGTGGTAGGGATGAAAAAACTGTAGGTACAACGACCACCGAGAATTTGCCATGGACATATTTACCTGATCGTCCTAGCAACAAGGCTGACGCCTTGCACTCAGATTAAAGTAATTTCGAGTGTACGTTTACCCGTTGGTATAAGCAAAAAACAATATCAATATTAATAATTCTAAATGCAGATCGGGAAAAATTCATATTTGTTTCAGATTTATTCTAAGAATCGCTGATCAGCCGATTCAAAAGTGATTAGTCGAAGGCTGACGTTCGCGAGATACGAGGCGTTGATTGCGAATATTTATGCATAATCAGTCACGCTAGCTTGACACTTAAGAATGATTGAAACACAAAACTGACCGCGACCCGACTGAACATATCACGCCCTAACATTTTTCCACGCCGACATTACCGTCCGTGACTTTAATCAATTGCAACAGCCTGTTCGTTTTAAATCCACGGAAGCCAATTGCAATTAACCGTAACAAAGATATTACTAAATATCGTTCGAATGCTTCTCACCTTACACCTGCACTTGACGCATTTCATCTCCCCGTGGGAGTGGACACGTGGGTGCCATTCCATCCCATTCTCGTACGGTCCGCCGAGAGGGTACTTGCAGCCACCGGAAGCGAGTATCTCCTCGGGGGTGCGTCTGGTGGAGGGTACAGCTTGGTCGCGGGGTAGACGGGTCGTATCGCCGGCTGCGACGCCGGCGTTCGCGGTACTGGGCGTCGTCGTCGGGCACTGTCTGCAGCAGGCCTTCTTGCTCGGTCTGAAGGCGATCTTCTCGTCGCAGTCCAATGGCGGACACTGCACCCGCGGACATTTCACCTCTAGCGTGACCGGCTGCAAGATAAATGCGGTCTTTAGTCGATATTTAACGCCGCCTTCGAATCCTCAGAAAGTATTAACTGCTATCGCAATTGTGATTTAATCACAATTAAATCAAATAAAAGTAATCAACCCGTATTACTAATGTGATAAAAACATTAATTACGAAATGAAATGAAGTTAGAAAAAAAAAAAAAAATGATAAGTGTTACCGACTTAATTCTTATTTCGCACACCCAGAACGACAGTCAAAGGGTTAATTCGGCGCTGGTGACAAAGGAACGAATCGAAACGATCCTATTATCTTCGTTAATGGAAGGAAAGATTTGGAGGGACGTTTCAATGCATGACTCCAAACAATTTCCTTATAATATATATTTAGAAAGGCCTGTCACCGATTACCGATCACCCGTGTTCCGTGCTCTTTTCATGACTCGGCAGAGAGCAACCGCATTCTTCTGGCGCAACGAACCCTCGTTGTGTGTCTGTCTGCTTGAATTTTTCTTTTTTTCTTCATCGTCCTAGAGAGCTTTCAACTTACCTATACGTCTCGGTACGTACAACGGGTTATAATATACAGATACTTTATATGTCGCAGGATCGCGTTGATGGTGGCCTGGGTATCGTTACGAAACGCCGCGGTAAAGTGAACGTATGGTAAAGAGGTAAACAAAGAATCTGGAAAAAGTCATGCACGCTTGGAATTCGAGTTGCCAACGCGATCCCTAGCGTTTCAGAACATTATCTACGGCCGTCGGAACGATTCGAATGCCGATCTTTCGAAAGTCGACCTCAGGTTAAAATGCGAGAGATTTGCGTCAGTCGTCGGTTATCCAGCGCGCTCGACTAACTTGCGATGCTATCTTGGTGGAAAATAAAAAGAAAAGAATAGCCCCTGTAATATGCATGCAAATGCGGATGAAAAGATGGCTTTTTATCAACTTACGTCGCATGTGCACACCGCGCAGGTATCGAATCCAGCAGGTGGTAGATATGGGTGCCAGGATGCTCCTGGTAAGTGGAACTGACCGGCCAGGGTGCAGCCTCTCGTCACCGAGCTAACGTTTTTTCCTGTACCGTTCACGTTGATACCGGGACCTGTACAGAAATCATTAAATCAGAAAAAAAACGAAAAAAAAAAAAAAACACGATTTCGAGACGGTGCATCGATTAAAATTAGCTGGAAGATTTCGAATATGTTACAGGAAAGTAGCAAAGACACAGCAGACGGTGCGTTTATCTGAAATTAATTCCACTAACTGGCTCCGGTAGGACGGCGACGCAAGGACGAGGAACGAGGAGGCTGGTAACGCGACTAAATAACGCAACAAAGTAGTAGAACCGGACGATGGAAACACGGCCGATTTAATTAGATACGGTAGAGCATCGACGTAGCTGAAGAAGATGACGGATCGGCGCGATGGATTCACTTTTTCTCGACACGTCCGATACGTCTCTATTGCCGACCCGTCGAATAAAAGCAATTTATAATTTGTCTGATCGATTAGCCGGACGAGATATCCAAAAGGAATGCTACTAGCGACTGGATTTACTATTCCTCGAAACAGTTAGCAGGATGTCAGTCCTCGAACAAGCCGGTAAAATATTATTTGATTGGATATTTATGCTACCCGACGTACTGTAAAATAACACTTTGTACATGGAGACTGATAAACACTCGTGTAACGTAGACGGTCTGTAGATAGGCGTAACTAATTCTACGCGATTACTTTCATGAAGCGTGTCACGGTTAAGCGGATTTAATCAACCGTAGATCGACGCGTCTGGGTTAACTCGGATTTATTGATTTTTTAAGAAAGGAGAACGATAATTAAACCGTCAATCTATTCAGCTCAGGACAGCACGTTTGAATCTCTAATGAACTAACGAACCAGTAAAACAAACTCATTAGAAACGGAAATATTAGAAAAATTGAAAATGACCGGATGACGAAACAAACGTACCCGCGCAAATAGGGCAACAGTGGCCGGTAGCAGGTTTCAGTTGTTTGCCCTGTGGACAGGTGAGGGTCGGACATGGCACCGGGTCGCACTGCGCCAATCCGCGGAAGCAATGGCACATGGAGCATGGATCCGTGCTCGAGGTCCATTGGGTACCTTCCTCGTAGAACCTAGTTTCGTGGAAACAAGCACCGGTTTCGATGTCAGACCGGGGCGGTTGCAGATTGTACGCGACCACAGAGGCAACATCGTTGTCGGCGTAATGAGGGAGACAGTTGAGGGGTGCCCTGGCTTTGAAAGGAGCCTTCAGGATCCTTTCAGCTTGTTTATCGGTCACTTCTAGGAAACCGATACCAGATTCTATTCTGTATAATTCCACGGGCGAGAGTCCAGTGACGGAACCTTCCAAGACATATCCAGTGAACTCCTCCAGGAGCCTTCTGGCGACAGGTGCGCCCTGTGCCAACAGCGGCATGGTCTCTAGATACAAACGGAAGGTTCCAGGTTCGGTATCAGAGGTGGGAGATGGCTGTGGGAAGCCAGCAATCTCGAGTTCGTAATGGAGAGAACAGTCCAAGTCCACTGCTACCCAGACCAGACCAACTGGACCAGGATGCACGGGTTCCTGGGACAATCTTCGAAGCAGTACAGGCGCAGTGGTGTCCCTGGCATCGGCTACGGGTCTCTGATAGAGACGGCCACGCAACATGGACCCTACATGAGAAGCTGCAACAACCGATAATTCACCATTGAACAAAGGCTCTAGAAGACGAGGTCCTGGACGGTCCAAGGATCCATTAGCCAGACCATCGACCAAGGACGGCGTTAGATCCTCCAGTTCGGTGCGACGTTTGCCTCCTTCGTCCACGAGGGTCACCAGAGGACTCTCTTCTTCGAGACCGATCAACTGGACCCCGTAACGCAACGATCCAGCGCGGTCCAAAAACGCCCAGGCCAGTCCAGAGGCCGCCGAAGGCGTTTCCGACAGCAGCAACGTCTGATACATGTCGCAGGTAGCGCGGGGTCCCACCATGCCGGCCAATCGTATCGCCTGCGGGTCCTTCTTGGACATTATACTGATGGATAACTTGCCGCGCGTCAGAAGACGTAGATCCGCTCCCGACAGCGCGCTACGGACCTCCCCGAAGTTCAACTCGTTCGACGGCTTCTTCACTATGATCTCCTCCCGCAGCACCACGTAATCCTTCTCCACGTGCTCCAACTGCACGATCAATGGCACCTCGAGCACGTCGTTCGGTAAGAAAACGCCGTTGAACACCAGCGACACGTGAATCGACGGGGCGGAAGCGGAGGATGCAGAAACTATGGCTGTAGCCCCGGCGCCGGACATCAGCGAACGATCAACACCCATTGTTGGTTCCAACAGCGAAGAGTATTGTTCCGTGGATAAGGCGCGATAACGAGACAACTGTCCGGTCAGGGTGGCCGACGGTTCCCATATAAAAGAAACGTGCAGACGTTCCTCGCGGAGCAGCTTCCTGTAATCCCGTGGAACTCTCCTCCAAACGCCGCACAGTTTACCCGTCGCATTCTGATACACCCCACCGATCGGGTCGACGATCTGCTCCTCCAGGATGCTGCCCGATCCGTCCACGAACTGGATGCTCCGAGGCCGAGGCGTCGCGGTAGACAGATAGAACGAGTAATAGAGGTTCTTGCGATGGAAAGTGAAACGACCGGTGGCCACGTAGTTGTAGGCGCTGTTGTAAATCGATGTCGGGCTGGGTTCGTCGCGACGCAGCACCTGGGACGTCCTACCCGTTAACAGAGTTCCAAAATCTGAAAAAGTCAGAACTATACGATGAATATGGAATCAACGAATCCGATAGAGCTAAGCGATTCGATCAATTACGTTTCAAGCTTCGTTCCTCTTCCTCGGAGGTCAACTGCGCTGGCAGATCCTGCACTATGTCCGTACCTGAAACACGCAAGGAACATTCGAATTACACTCGCGTTAATTTATGCTCCAACCGGTAAACGACGATACTTTTCTCCCTCTCGTCTTGCAAAGAGAGTTCAAGATATCCTGAACGATCTCCGTTTTCGAAATACGTGCTGGGCTCGCAAAAAATCGTTTTATCGCCTCGTAAAAAGCGCCGTGCGCCACCGTCGACGACGCTTCGTCCGGCGAGAAACTTCTCGTTAAAGTTTGCTTCTTAAGCAGCGGTGATGTACGCGGATGTTTTATGCGACCCGGCCTAACGCCGTGGAAGGATATCCTCACTCTAGGACTGTAGGAGGATAATGGCAGGTGTGAGAGGAGTCGAAGGATGTTGGCGTGGTGGCGTATCGATTATAAGGCGGCACCGAATGGCTCGCGAGTCGGGCATAAAACAAAAATAACCACCGCATCTGACGAGATAGGCTCCGAAGAGGGAACGGGTTAAGAGAAGAGAAGTGAAGAGAGGAGAGAAGAGAAAGGCAGAGACAGACGGAGGAGGCTCATTGAGCCCGCGCGATGCGTGTACGAAGCATAAAAAATGGCCGCAGGGTAGGAAAAGAGGCGGCTGGCGCCAACCACCGCTACTTTGAATGTTGCTTTTATGGCGCATACCGCACCGGTCCAGCCGCGCGGATACGTTAATTGGCATACGTACTGTACGAGCCAGTGACAACGCGTCGCGTCGTTTTACCTTTCTACCTCTTAACCCCTACGATTTACGGTTCAACATTCTTTTGTCAACTGCGCGTTGTTTCACTGCCGTTCGTTTTGCTAGATACTTTCCACTTTGCATAGTTTTGTGTCGTAAGTGGAACTTTCTATGGGAAAATCGTGACACGCGTTAGAGGCAATGCAGACTTTTTCATAAAGAGAGAGAGAAAGATTGAAGGAGGAATTTTCCATCATTCCATCATTCGAAGCCATGTGTTCCATGGCGCCTAACTACATTAGCACCCAAAATGCTCGGCTTTCCGACGAATTACGTCAAACGCGCAATCATCGTAAACAGCGTAATAAATTTGATCAACCGACGGTATTTCCTGAACCAATTAGCCCCAGCTATGTTCGAAGCTTGACCAGAAATTCTTTCCGCAAACATGATAATAGTTTAAGATCAATTTATCCATGTTTATTCTTATTTCGGGCTTAAGTAAATGTACAAACAATCGATAGAAATTTCATTAACCAAACGGGGGAGAGTAGTTTCTTCGCTCGAATATCGGCGGGCGTATATTCGTGTTTTTACGACCGCTGGACGTGATTAGCAAGCACCTTACGGTCGTTTAATGGTATTCACGCGGTACGTTTAACCGAAGGACGCTCGTTATTCAAGATTAAGCGTGCTCGTGAAAACGGCGCCAAAATCAGCAGGTCCTCCTAATTGGCTGGCTTTCGCGTGTTCCCCCAAACGGTAATCCGATACGGAGCCGCGTTTCTTCGCGTTACTTTACAACCTCCCGATGTAATTACCATTCTAATATCCTCCTTCACGGCCGATCGAATTCGAAATGCTTGCCGAAACTCTTGCGAAAATCAGATAACCGTCGGAATTGAAAATAACTTTCCACCCCGGACATTGTTGCACCATGATATACGTACCATCCCTTCGAGTAAATCGCGTACAATTGGTCACGGTCGTAACCTGACGTCGGACGTGCCGTTTTTGCGCGCGAGGTGCAGCGAATTTTTCGTTCCATCTCGACGGGAAGTTCCCTCTTTCCCACGGGCCGCGAAATTAGCGACGATTCAAGGGGCATCCCGACGCCTGTCGGCACCGAGAGGGCCCGTGAATGATCGCAATCAAGTACAACCGTACCCCGCCGACGCATAGACCGTGGCGAAATCTTTTTTTCTTTTCAAAAAGCCCATACAGCATAATTCCCCGGACACGGTCGTGTATTAATATACAAGATGACAGACGAGCTAACCGCGGCGAACCTCCCTGTCTCTGCCTCGTCGACGGGGCGAGAGATTCAAACGAGTTTCGTCATTATCCGGCTGCATTCGTGTCTGCTGCCAACATCCGGGACGTGGTCGTTGGTCGTTCGTCGTTCGACTCGATGAGAATCGATGTGACAGTCCAATCGACGGGCTCATGGGTCGCAGTTTCTTTTCGCGGGACGTAAAAGGGAGGGACGAGGATCGGTAATCGTAAGCGGCTTCACCTTCCATCAGCAAAGGGCAACGAGCATCCCAGACGATCACCAACCAACCGACGACCAACGACCAACGACCAACGACGACGACAACAGCGAAAGTATACGGTAAAACAGATACTTTTATGCGTTACAACTATGCTGCATTAATGGGATGGATTTTTAAATAAACGAGCAGACGATTGAACCAACAGTCTGGAGGTTAGTTTACGACCCCGTATATGCAGAGAATTTTAAGTTAACGATCGGACGATCGTAAATCAATCACATTCTGGCTCCATCCTGGCGTCCCACTGGGGTCGCTACTAAGTTGCTTACGGATTAACCGGTGAGCAAATCGAAGAGAAAAAAAATTTTTAATATAGGACGAAGGTGGACAACTTCCTTCGAATTATTACTACAGTTGTCAAAGGTTTCTGAATTGATGAAATTCTCTTCAGAAGAATTGCGTTTGTCACAGACGAATAAAGCTCAAAGAATTGCAGTGAGATAAGAAGAGGACAAGGGATAGGTTGAAACGTGGACACAAGGAACATACACGAAATTAGCAAAGATAATGAAGAAGAAGAAGAGAGTATATAAAGAGGAGCAAGCAGTGGACACGATAAGAGGTGAACCAAGAGACGGGAATAGCGAGGATGATCAACAGGCTCATTGGAAGAGAAGAAGGAATGGTCTCGTCTCCCTCCTCCTACGCTTCTCCCCCGCGACCTTCCAACCCTCTCTCCGAACCACCGACCAGCTTCTCGTCTATTCTCATTCCCGCGCGCGTTATGCCCGATCATTACGTATGCTAATATTTACATTTAGATTGCACGGCTTAATCGAAGTGACGCCATGCGGTAATATAGCCGGCGCCATGGCGCTAAACCGTGGCGCCCGATCTCCCTCTCTCTCCCTCGACATCTTTCTTCCTCCACCACCGACCTTCCACTCCTCTTCGTTCCATTCTCCCTCCACCCTCCCCCCACTTCCTCTCTATACCGTGTCTTTATCATCGACCTGACCTTTTTTCCGCGCTTTTTTACCAATCCCCTCTGCCAACCACCACCACCACCACCACCGACATCGGTTAATTCGGCCTCTCTCACGGCTCGTTATTCCGTTTATCTGTCCCGCTGCTGTCCCACGACGACCAACCAGAGGGTGGCTCGAGGAAAAAGTCGCGCTTTTTTTCCCCTTTCGATGATTCTCTCACGGGAAAGATTGCGGCTGTGGCTTTGGATCGCATCGGTAGATAAGTTTCGTTCTGCCCTTCAAGGGTGCCCCTTTTCTTTTTCACCAAGGATTTACGTAACAATCGATAGAATAGCAAAATGATATTCTCCTCGTTCAAGAGGAGACCACCAGTTCAACGCAAGACTCTGGACACTAGGTTGAATGCCACGCAACAACCTCTTTATATTCAACGTTGTCGCGATAAAGAAATCTACTCGCGCTCCTCGAATGGGAATAGAAAGCGCGGACAATGACAGCGTACACTTGTCCACGGATAATAAATGCGGGCTCGCTAATTGATTCTAAGTAACCGATAAATTGTCCGCTGCCCACCATGCTAGCAGCGTTATGGTCAACGACGCGCGCTATTTATTCATTTTTCCTGGAAACCTTTCTATCGCCAATTCAAACGAAACTCTTCGGTGTTCTTCCTTCACAGACAACGATATTAATCGCGATACCTTGGTAATCGTGGAAACGTATCAATTTATATCGCGCTGATATTATCGTTGTATCGGTGCAATAAACAATGATTGATCGATTTTTTTTTTTTTTTTCTAATCCTAACAGAGAACGCACGTGGCGAAGCTTTTCTATTAGGGAGACGTTGGGACTTTTGGACTTTAGGTCTTAGATCCTTAGATTCTTGGACCTTTGGATTCCTAGACCGTTGGTCTTTTGGATCCATGGATCCCTGGACCCTTGAATCGTGGAAACGCAAAGCTCGCCAATTATCGCACCGTACTTGCTACTTTTATCAAATCCTGGGGTCGCGTAGTACTACGTTGCTACTGCACTTCCTTATCACACAGTACTATGATCTACTGAACTCTGTTATCACGTAGTACTATGTTCCATTGAATTCCTCCTTATCACGTAGCTCTACGTTGTATAGAATACTCTTATCATGTAGTACTATTGACATAGTACTACGAGGATCACGCTAAAAGTACAGAATAATCGTAAGAATATCTGTGATTACTGATTACATAAAAAGTTTATCGGCAAAACATCTAAAGAACGCATTTAGCAAAATGATGTCATCAGTACACCTTTTACGTAGGTCATTTTAATAGCAAATCATTAAAACACTGCAACACACGTACAGTGCTAATTGTTGTTAATTCTGATGGAAGATATACACAGAACTATCTGCTGTGTCGTTTATAAAAAGAAAAAAAACTCACAGTCGTATGCAAAATATAGTGAAATAAGTGCATCGCGTTGGATGATACATTTTTTTGGGAAATCTTCGGAGACACTTTCAATTTCTTATTGCAAGCTTACAACGTAGATTATCTTATAAACGAGCAGACACGACGTTTATGATAATATACCGCTATTATAGTAATAGACATCTAATCAACAGGCAATTCAACCGAGGATCTGTTTTTTTTTTCCTTCACTTTTTTTCGAATTCATTAGCACTCTCAGTATACTCGTCAAGTTTATTAATAAACAACTGTATTGTAAGACTGGTTGAAAATTATCTTTCAAAATCCTCCTATATTTTCTCGATTCTAATTAACTCAATCTAGCTGGGACCGTTAAATAAATAAATTGATTTCAACAGAGTTTCGTGTACTAATCAGTTATCTCACAGAACACGTATGTTAGAAAGTACAAGAATTTCCTTCGCGATAGATTTATCGCCGATCGTTAACAGTCTTGTCTACCGTACTACTCGTTACTCAGCCAGAATTCCATTTGCTAAATTCCTGGCCTTCACTTTTCGTCAGCCTCGTGTTTCTAGTCGAAAGCGCAACCGAAATAGGTACATACAACTATTCCGAACGTTTCCTTCGTTTCATCCGCATTCTACGGGGATATGGAAATCGGCGGAGGAAAAAGGAAAAAGGAGGATAAGAGGCTCGGTGAACGTACCAAGAATTTCGTCCAAGCTATTCTCAGTGAAAGTTGTACATCTAGCGGATAATACTCTATCAAAGACAGGGTGTAAACTCTGTGCAATGCTGAAATTCTCATAATTTCACGAGACAAAGTGAAAATTTGTCTGAGATCAAAATTATTCACTGCGGATACGTGTGATGTTAGATTTTGCAAGAGGAACGAAAACAACAAGGACAAGAGGATGATATAGTATAGGAAAAAACATGGGGAAGAAAGAAGACTTGAACACGCGTCGATACGTTAATCCGTTAATAAGATCACTCGAGAGCCTTAAAGGCGATAATAAGAGTAAAGGTACCGTCGATAACGCTCGACCATGATTACATGACATTGCAAATACGATTATCGGATCGATCGGTTGATACAGAAACGGATGGGAAAAGCATTGATAGAATGATCGAAAGAGAAAGAAAACCCCCTGGCCAAGTGATAAAGACAAAAATACCGGCACCAAAGAGGCGGTGATCGTTGATAAATGATTTATGCAAACCACTTGACTCTCATTAATGTATCCAGTCCTTCGATACACATTGTAACTATATTCTTTTCGCGATGTTTACGAGATCGTTTTCAATAACTGAATATTTTTACATTTACTAATCGAATGAAATTAAAACACACTGTATATTCCACGTAGGTGGTGCATATATTATTACTAACGAGCGTATCATTTCTGAAAGCATGATAATATTTATTCGAATGAAAAGAGATCGTGTTACTCACTGAAATCTCCTGGACAAGACTTGCAGCACCGACCAGGAAGAAGAACAGGTTCGTCGCACGTAAGTTTCGGGCATTCGTTCTTAATGTTACGACAGTGGACCCTCGCCACGATGCGTCGCTTCTTTTGCACCTATAAAACAGAATAAATTGTCAGAAATAAATTTGTGAGTTTTATCAAATTTCGCGGTGTCGTATGAATCTTGGATTTTGGATTCATGGATTACTGGAGACATGGGTTATTAGATTTTCGAATTCTTCGATCCCTGGACTTTGGACTCGTAGATCCTAGAATCTCTGGACTCTTGGATCCTCGAATCCTTGGACCCCTCGACTATTTTTCGATCCCTAAACTCGCTCGTCAATTCCTGACAATCACGAACGCTAAATCTCTCCGGCACACAACCACCGACCTGTTTCTCCTGTCCCGAAGCGCACGTGTTACAAAGTGAAAAACAACTGATTTCAAGATAAAGTCGTACGTTTACAAAGTATCAAGACACGTTTAGTGCCAATTATCGTCTAAATGTCAATAGACGACTGCTTCTCCATCTAAATCGTGCCAATTCCCGTTACGTTTCTCTATTACCGTGAACGTAATCATTTTTTAAAATTTTCTTTTTTCTAGGATCACCAGCTTACACGCATGTTTATTGCTGCTTTACGCATGGCTGGATGATATTTGTAACGTTAACACGCACAGCATGCATAAATCTATCCGCGCATAATTGGTAGGTGTTAGTGATCACAAAGGACTCGTTTATCACGGTCAATGGTGCCATTATTCGCGACGCGATTTACAATACTCCTCGCGATAGAAATTATTATTTAACATCTCTGTCGATTTACCGTTTCCTGGGACAACGTGTGAAAAAAATTCGTCGTTAAATCTGTCAATGCTGAAGGTATATAATCGTGTTCTGCGACACATATCAATTCATATCCCAGGATTTTGTCGTCGACTACTTTCTACCATAGATCTTCCGCTTCTAATCCGACTCTCTATTCCCAACATCTTACTACCAGTTGACTACATCTCGTTCTTTACGACGCTATTTATATTTTACGATCCAACAATATTGCAAAAAAAATTCGTTACTTTTACTCGGACCAGAGAATCCAGAAATCAGAAGCACAACAAAACGTTGGATGGATCCGATGGACACCGGTTGACCGGTTAATAAATAATCGACTTTAAAGCAGATTTGCTTAGTTATCTTCGGGCGTGAAAAACCAATCTGAAGAGATTCTTTTTCAACGGCTCGTCGGCTGGGAAAAAGGATACGAGATCGCGGACACGGATCAGAGGAGGTTCCGGTTACAGAGCCTGCACAGCCCAGTGAAGAGAAATTAAGTTTGGGGTTTTATAGAGCTGCAACGGCATTCCTGAAACACGAAACGATATGTTGATTCAAGTGGTAAAACGAAAAAAAGGGAGAAAGACACAGAGACCAGTCGGAGACGTTAAAAAACTTGGAATTTACAGAAGAATCGGGATGGCAAGGGTAAATATGGAGTTTCAGAATGCACCTAGCAAAACTCAGTGGGTGTAATTTTTATCATTAGGAGAAGTTTCTGCGAGACCTCCAGATACCGTGTACCCACGGATTCTTAAGCACGTTTCTAGAAACACGAGAACACGATAACGATAACACCGATCCTAAGAATAAAGGGGAAAGTTTTTTTCTAACTGGAAACATCTTAATGTATTTAATTGCTTCATAGATAAGGTAGCAGATTACGGAAGGGTAATCTCGCAGAGGAAAGAGAAGGAAAAATTCATAGACAGAAATATTAACTTCGCTAACGAAGATTTACCTACTAATGTTACGAGAAGATATCTTTTTTTTTCTTTTGGAATTAGGGTCGAGAGCAACAATCGTCTCGATTAAAAAGCGTGTCCCACTATTCAGGAACGGTGGTCGGTTGGCGTGATTCATCCACCCACGGGTTTCTTCCTCGCGCTGGTTAGCCATTCATTATTTTGACGCTATTGTAGGAATAATGATAGGAGGAACGATCGGGCCGGAAGTCGGTGTCAATTCGCGCGTGGGGTCTCCTCTATCGCGTGGGTCGTCTTTAGGCATTCTAGCTTCGAAAGAAGGAAACTTTTGATCGGTGCCGCTGGCTGATAAAGTTTAGCCAATCGAGAAATTATTCGCTTTTTGATTTATACGACCAGGAGAAATATTGCTTCGCTACCGTCAACCTATAATAAATGTTTATATTAATTCTCAGACGTTGAGCATCTGTTATTTCGATGCGAACAAGTTCCTATTGTACAGGAGAATAAACACAAGAAGGTAGCATAAAATAGCGTAAGACTTAGGCAGTGAAAAGTAAATCACCGAATGGTGGACACTCGGCAGAGGCTTTGGGTAAAGAAACGATGTCTCGTGTGATTCACGCGACCTGTCTGCCTCTGCTCCTCTCGCAACCAACACCGCGACCTATCAATAGCTCCTCATATACACTCAAGAGGGACTGTCATTCCACCGAAGTCTAAAAATAGAGTTCGCGCGTCCGTCTATAAAGCTGCTGGTTTGAGAACTCCTCTATCACTGCCTCTCAGCTCTCTTCTTTCTCCTTTTCTTTCTTCTCCACTCTGCTATTCTTCCATCTTACATTCCTGGACCATTGGATCCCTGGACTCTTGGATTCTTGAACTCTTGGATCCCTGAATCCTTGGATCCCTGTACTACCAACCTCCTAGGTTAAGGTTACCCTGATAAATCAACGAAAAAACAGAAGAAGAAGAGGAAGAAATAGACGTGGAACTGAGGGAGAGGCTAATGGCAGCCATCAAAGACAAACACGTAAGAACGGTAGCCAGTCAAGGACGGAGCTTATGAAGATTGGCTAAATTAAACTCCATTAGGACAGTCGTGACCGTTCCGTCCCGACGATAAATGCATGCGCGACAGAAGCCGTGTAACTATGATAGAGGAGCATTAATTGAACCGCACAGAGCGACAGGCTCCGAATCGCTTTACGATTGACCTCAAATTTATTTCCACATTCTTAACCCACAATCAAACGTTCACCGGTCACGTTATTAGCCCAATGGCTATTAACCCCTCTATGACTCAGCCAGACTAAACTTTTCGATCCCATCTCAACTGATTCTTATTTCTTCTCCTTGCGAACATACGAAACTACGTTTCGTTCGAACGTAATTAATATTAATATTACAATAATATGAATGGTGAAACCATACAGCCTATCCAAAGAAGGGTTAAAGTAAAGAAAAGGGTAAGGGTGAATAATATCGTTTAGAATAAAAAAAGAAGCACACAGATATCGCGTGGGAGGTGGGTCTTGTATAATGAGATGAGTATCTTAATAGTCTGACGATACGAGGCGATCGGCCTCCTCACGTATCCACCGTACCTCACCATCTCTCTTCCGCATCGGAATACCAAGCAAGTGGGTGTGAACGAAATCACGGCTGGATCTTTATTTAACGGAACTTTTCTTCTCCCACCGATCGAAATCTCCATTTTTACAAAACTCGAATAGCATTCTATATAATAAAAAGTGCATAAATCCGAAAACTAATCACACGAAATAGAAAGGTGAAGCCTTCACCTTTTATCGAGAAAGTCTGGAAGAGAAGCTCTTGAACGAAGCTAATTAGCCGAGGGTGTAGATTTATCCTCTGAAAATCATGCTCGTTAGCGAACTCAGTAATATTACTGGACCGTAAAAAATAGCTCATAGATCTTAAACAGAAACTGCAGTATACACTTTGTACTATTAACGAAAAAATAATTCTACGCAATATCTCGATAAGCTCGATACGCTACGCTTGGTTGAAAGTAGTCAACTGGCGATTAAAGAAAGACGAGAGAGAAGGAATGAAGGTTAAAAAGTTTCGCAAATTTTCATGTAAATATTATTCAGGAAGTTGGTTATCGCGGCGTTGAGAAACGTTGATCTTTTGAGAAGCGGAAAACGTGAAAGGGCAGGAATATCGATGACGTGCGCGCAAGGGACGCCTCGTATACACACGCTGACATTTATCGCAAAACACAACGGTGTCCCCCTCGGCCACGTATGCTCGGAATGCAAATGACGATTATTGCGCGATCGGCTAAGAATTCGACTGAACGCACCGTTCATTTCTTCTCTTTCAAATTGTTTACAAAATTATTTGAGAATAACCATTTAGTCTATACTGAGGTAACCTATCCAGTTAAGCAATTCCAAGGACTGATGTACGTGTCGGAAACTTCTGGATAGGGTTTAAAAGACGCGGTATGACGTGTCACGGTATAACAGTAACACTATTGTGGAATGGCACACGGGCAGACTGGTGTATGCAGCATTAAACGGGCCGAGAAGGCGGACGCCAGTCTGTCTCGACCAGGAATGGGATTAGGAAGCACGTCGAGTCTCCATGGGTCACGTCATCCAGATCGAGATTTAGTCCGCGTCACGTCGATCTATACACTGTCCAAAGAGCAATGCCATTTATACGACCTTCTTGGAAAAAGCGATCCAGGAACGCGACGATTAGATCACGCGTTCACTCCGTCTACGTTTCTCTTCCGAGTCTGGCTATTGTTAACTACAATTTAGGCTCCCCATACCCCAGCCTCGAGTTCCCTTTTACCAATTTTTCAATTCATTCGACAATGCGTGGAATAACAATTAAGTAGAAACCGAATGAGAATACAGGTTACACGGTGCAAATTATGTGCCGGGTAGATAAGATCGGAATGCCGGCAGCTCGCTCCACCAGCCATTACCAACTTACCGTTCAATGTAAGATTGATTAGCAACCGAGCTGACGTAAGAGTCCGAGAAACTTTAGAAAACGCCACCGGAACTAGCGGGACAAGGTATGGTAAGGGTGTCCCGGTACTCTTGTACCTACACGAATAGTCGGCGCGAATTCCGTAAAAGTCGGGGTAGGTTAGGATTGTAGGTTAGGTAAAACCGTTGTACCTGCGGCTTGGCTGCGCGGAGCCAATCCGAGCGCGAGACGTGGTTACACGGAGGAGGTCAAAGGTCCGGGGGATACGGACGAATACAAAAGGCTCGAGATTGTAGGTACGTGCATACGGACACGCACGAACGCGTGACGACACACCCACCCATCCACTTTCATACGTACCGGAATGCATTCGCATTTGATGCAGTACATGACTCCAAAGGGCGGGCCCAAATCCGCGAACCAGGTGGAGCCCAATTCCCGTATCTGCTTCCCGAACGTACATTCTGCAACAAAGAGGTATTTCAATTGGCTTGGCGAATTTTACTAGCCACGGGTAAGAAGCATGACCGGTATAAAATACGACTTCTAGACTCTTTGAAAACTGGCTAACTTGAAATATTTGAAAGCGAAACCGAACGTACGGGACGTTAGGTTTGGAAAGGGAGCGGTTAACAGGAGGGAAAGGCTCTTATACTTTCTTATCGCGGTGAATATGATTTAAATCGTGAAAAAAATACTTTTCCATTTCGTTTCGGTAAAAGTGAAATTGCGGGTAACGAATGGTGGTGCCCGGGCTAATCGCCCGCTTCTGAATCATCGTCACGCGCGAAAGGAGCAAGGATTTTTGGTAGCCGTTTAAAAATCGCCGAGACGACGATGAGACGGCGAGTGTGTAAAAGAGGAAGGCTAAGAGCGACAGCGACGTCTCGAAGAAGAGAGCGGCGATCTTGGCAAGAAGAAATAAAAATGTTCGCCATTCTCGCAAGGCCGTTGCCTCGTTTAACACTGACGCTGTCTCACCTTCTTCCGCTAAAAAAAAAAAAAAAGAAGATAAAGAAGCTAAGGCCCGTGTATGACTGCGCGTTACGACGTCCTTTCCTTTTCCGTGTAAAAATAAATACTCGACCGAGAGCCGTGGCACCGAAAATAACGAGCCCGCTCTTTTTCATAGGATTATACGATTTCCATTTTATCTTCGGACTTCTGAGAAGCCGCTCCATCCTTACTTTTTCACTTAGCTTTTCAAGGGAGACCTTGATTAACTGCGGGGGTGGTCTTTTGTCCCAAGACCAAGGGAATTTGAGAACTCGTTAATTAAAATTAGGGCTCGTCGAAATTGAAGTCCTAGCAATAACAGCAGCCACTATTTCAAATTCTGCCAAGTTACCATAGCTAAGAATCTCAACGATGCCACCGTTCCAGCAACGGCTAAAGAAAACGTCGCAAGGTAATTAAGCCGCCGAGATGGTAGAGGCCGATCAAAGCTAAAGCTTCTGACAATATTTCTAGCCAGCCCATCAGACGACGGCTGTCTAGAATCGCCTTTGTACCCGCGTCTGGAACGTAATAGAAGGCGAGCGTCGCGACGTTTCGTGCACGAAGAAAACATAGAGAAGGAAAGATCGGTGTACCCGGTCTCTTTGGGCTTGTACGCGTCCACTGGTCCGTTTGCTTTAGATGTGCACGCAACAGAGAAAGAGAGGAGCAAAGATACACAGGGAGTATGGCTCGTTGCGCGAGGTCGTTGCACCGTCAGCGTCAGTGCTAAGTCGTTCTAAGCGCAGAGTCGGTCCTAAGCAACCAGCAGGCCCGGCGACAGGGAAGCCTCGATACGCCACCGCATTGCAAATATCTCAGACATTCATCCTCTTGCATTCTCCTCCCTTCCACGACGCAACTTTATCTCTTATTCTCCTTTCGATTTAATAAACCGAAAAACCATTCGTCGGGAAAAGAAGGAAGAGCATAAGCGTCGAATCTCGCTAAACGTTTAATCTATTATTGGAATGATGAGAATAGGACGCCGTGGTCGAGCCGTTGCGTGGAAGCATAGAGTGGTCGGTGCTAATTTGGCCCATATACCAACCTTTCATAGACCGTTGACTCGGCTGCCATAACTTATCAAATGTGAAATCTTGCGCTCTTTATCTCAAAGCGACCCACGTTCGAGCTCGCCGCAAGCGCGTTCCCTTCCAATCAGAAAAAATTCATTGTTTCCCTCCTGAAGAGATTGAGAATGCTAAGAGAAGAGAGCGCAAAAGGCGTTGCTGAGAGATTCGCGTAAATGGATTAGCATAAATTAAGCGCGACCGTTGAAGCATCGAGGGTACGTAAATTGGCTATGTTTTGCATAAACAGAATGAGCGCGGAAGATGACGTGGTTTCGGAAGAATGTAAACGTAAAAAGGAGTACTCGAGTCGGTCTGCTGCGACAGAGATCCTCCAGACACCGGAGGATGTGACCGAGTAGCGAAAACAGAAAAAGTATCACGATAGTGGCCACTCGAGTCGCGTTCGATTCGAGAGCTGCAAAAACGGAAGATCGCTGGCGACACCAATTATGTCACGGTTGAATCATACTTCTACCATTCAATTTCATTTCATGAAGAGTGGTATCGTTTAATTATCTAAACGTTAGTCTACCACCTAGACTGTAGGTGCAAAAAGAATTGCGTAACAGAAGAGTCTAGGATGGAAAACAGACTCGGTACCAACTCTATTAATAATCCTGATTACGAAGCAATTTGGTATTCGAAATCTGAATATCAACACCGACTACTCATTCCTACTACGTTTAGCTTACCGCGAATCTAACCGAGAATTCGAGGAACACGCTTTCAGCCACTATTCTCAGCCACGTAGACGGTCTAGGATAACGTTCAACGCGCGCTTCTAAGTCGGGAGTTCGATGAACCACGATGAATCCTCCTAACGGAGTTCGTTTAGGAATAAATACAACAGGATAGACACCACTGTTAATCCTAAAATATCCAACACGTCGACCGTTCACTCGTCTGTCCGACGCGGAGGACTGAACGCGTCGTGACAGTCTTTACTATTTCAGCACCTCGAGTGTCATTAAATTAGATAAAGTGATCGTTTCGTTTAAATATCGCGGAATCCTGTCTGTTTACACGTCCCTAGTACAGCGGCGAGCAACGCTAGTGTAATCTAGGGGAAACGTGGCATGCAGGACAGAGGGCGCGCCGGTCGCCTCGAGCCCAATTTCCCCTAGGGAACACTAGCTGTAAGTACGCGGCGTTGCAACGAACCGTACGTTCAGCAGTTATCCAGCAACGCCATGAGTACGTCTTCGGTCGCTAAAATAAATAACGTTCTCTCGGTTCGATGTGAAGAAAAAAAAAAGACGAAAAGAAAAGAAATGGTGCGATAGCCGGGTGAGTGAACGACAAACACATGCCACTTTCTTTTCTTGCTTTTCCCATTTTTTTCCATCTTGCTTCTTTTCCATGAATCTCGCGCGTTATGCTTCCTTCCTGCCCCTTATGTTTGCTGCACCAATGCTTGTACGTTCTACTTTCTCTCTCTCTCTCTCTTTCTCTCCTGTCTACGTATCTCTTCGCAGTCTCTTTCTCTGTCTTTCTTGTTTGCTCTTCCTCGTCTCCGTCTCGAGTTTCACATCACCTTTAGCATCGTATACGATCTCGTGTCACGTGACATTGCAATGCATCAAGTGTACGTCTCGGTCGTTCGATTTCTAATGTTTCACTGCCACTGCAGATAATGACATTGTAGCGAGATGAAAATATACGTATCGGCCGTGTTAGCCAGCCGACCAACAGAGAAGTCCAAGCAAACCGGTTAACGATAAGTGCAATCGGAATCGACTTCAAGACCAATTTCCAACGCTCCCCTGTCATCCGAGATAACGAGCTGATATCACCGGGGCAAATGAAATGCATCGTTGTCCTAAAACCTTAACCTAACGGTGCGTTACGATATTACAAACGACACTGTTGCAATTGCATCTAGAGGTACGCGTACTTCTAACTGGAACATCGGAAAGCGATCGGCGAGTAGGTAGCCCCGCATTGTGCGACCCAATTCCGTTCACCGAGCGGTTTCTTCAGCTTCGTCTAACGGATTATAATAAATTTATGGAAGTTGAACAGCGAGCGAGGAAAAAGGAGGAAAGTTGGTAATTAACGGGCCAGAAGTTTCTTCTACAGAAACCCGTAACACTGAACGAAAATAACGGATGCAACGTTGACAGGGGGGTGGAAAAAATACGATAGAAAAGGAAGAGGAGAAAGAAGAAGAAGAGAGTGGCGAAGCCAAGTGCGTCGACATGGTTCTTACGCAATTCTTGTTTGGCCGTGAAGCAGCGTCTCGACGAAGAAGATGAGGATGCTATCCTCATCTTCCGGTACGATGGTCGGGCCACTTTCTCGTAGGTTCTGCTCGGGGGCAGATCGCGTCTGCAAGTGGGCAGAGAACGTAGGCGATGCTTCTCGCGACTTCTTCGACATTGAAGTCACCTCTTGCCGTGTCTCTCCACTATGTATAACCCGCGATGTTGCGCGACCGTACCTGCTCTCTCGGCTACAGGTTTCACGTAGGTGTACACCTACGTGTACCTGGACCGAATATGTATTTCTTCCAGTCCTCCCCCCCCACCGATCGGCATTAATATGCAGAGGATTTAAAGTCGAGTACTCGGCCTGGTTCGGGTTGCACGCGAACGTACACGTATACGTACAAACAGGGAGAGAGACCGAGGGACATCTTGGAGCAGATAACGCTAAAAATTTAGAGAATTCATCGTTAAACTCAACGAAATTATGCAACGACTATTATAACATATCTGGAATGAAGATAAGCGTGCACATAGAGTTTGATCATTCATAAATCAGATGTTGATGTACGAACCGAAGTATCATGTTTTTATAACTAAAGAACGTGGTACCATTTTTGGTCCGTATGAAAGAGAAGCGAAGGCTTCGTTTGGTTGAGCCCACATGTAGGCGACACGCCTTCGCAAACTCGGCTCCTCTCGTTTGGGGCGCGCGCCCCAACTACGTACAAATAATCGCTGAATGCTGCCCACGTACAGATTTATGTTCGAACACATCTTCCTCCTTACGCTCTAGCGCAATTCTAGCAATTTTCATCATCGAACAGGAATAATATGACGAAATATTAATGGCGCAACTGTAAGTCCAATTACAAGCAATCATGTAATCCAGAGTGAAGTGGCACGGGTGAAATTATACGTCATTAGGATATATTATAGAAGGAATAGAAACGATAGGAAAGTTCATCGTCCAGATTCGTAAGCGATAAAAAGGGATAACCAACTATGGCGTGGAGAATTGTGATTGGATTTGGCTATTATTAATCGGTATCGAAGTTTTTTATACGTATTTTTGGTTACTCCGGGATGAGCGAATAGGGCCATGAACGATTCCATCGGCGTTTCCGTATCTCCTAAAACGTATCTGGCGAAACAACGAACGTGTTGCACGTTGACAGACGCGGCGATGTTTTACTGCCGTGCAAGTAACAATGCCGCTTTGTTCGCGGCGCACCACTGCCGATTTAGAGTCCATGTTTTCTACCGGCTCCGAATAAATTTATCTGTTTGCCCGGCGAGATGCAATGAAACGACCGCGGCTATGACAATGCCCTCTAAACCGGTCACGTGACACGGCAACTACCCAATAAGAACACGGATCGAAAGAAAAATAGTTGAACCTAAAAATTATTTTACAGAAATTACGTCTACGATAAAAATCCGCCGATTTCTTCTAGCCAGACGATGGCTACACGGACGAGGAGAGATCAAAGCCGTACGCGATCGTATCTGACGTCGGCTTTGCAAGTACAATTAATTTCTTTCCGCGAGCGTGAAGGGAGGCACGCTGACAAGCGCAACGTGGAAGGTCAAGACCTCTCTCCGCGGTTTCCTTTTTCAGAACAATCCGAAAATACCCTAGAAATTGTCTTTCTCTGGTGCGACGAGGTTATAAAAGAAGCGTCAACTCGAAGGGCGCGCATCGAGCTAAAGAAGAAGGAGGAGAAGAAGAAGAAGAAGCGGATGGAAACGTCTGCGTACCGAGTCACCGGGTCCTTGATGTACCCTTAATCATCGAAGGAACAAGAAATGGACGCCAGCGTACAGAAATATTGCTAGTCGATCGCAACAGTCCAGTCAAAGTTTCTCTCTCTCTCTCTTTCTCTCTCTTTCTCCCCTCGACGCGACGCAAGAACGGGAATGTTAATGCCGCATCAAGAGTTATGACAAATGATGCGATTTTGCAGGGGGCGCGCGAAGAAATATGTTACTGTCGCTTCGCGGACGTAGAAGAAACGGCTCTGAGATGTACAGACAGCCGGCGCGGCTTCTATGGCGTGAAAATAGACAACAAGGATGCTCGAAACTTTGCTATCTCTTCAATTTTTATTAAGTTTCTTCCTCATCTTTTTGTAACTTAAAACTCGCTGTTCAATGGAAACAATATCTTCTCGTTATCCTTTGATTAACGGAAACGTTTATCTTTATCGAACGATATCTTTCCTCTTACCTATGTAAACTTGACAAGAACCTCTTCGAAAAATCGTACTATTTCGAACGAGGTCATAATAGTCTGTTTTCCGTATAAATTATAGATGTTTGTTTTTCCTGCTCGTATAACGTATCATCGTGTTACCGTCTTCGCACACTTTTTTATCTTTCGCCCCGTTTATTTCGGTTACAAGACACTTACGTTTTCAACGACTCCTCTGATTTCTTGCGTTTCTATTCTATCGACGATGTACCGTTACGATCATCGATATACGTACATCATATTCGCGTAACAATGCAAGAAGAAGAAGAAGAAGAAGAAGAAGAAAAGACGAAAGAAGGAATACGAGGAGGTTGTCTTCTTCTCTGGTGGCGGTTCGGTGTTGAGGCAGCAACCGGCGCGGCGATGCAATACCGAGTTGCCGAGTACTATATATAGGTGGCCCTGAGTGTGCAAAAATCACCCTACAAAAATCTGGATCAAGGGGCCATTCACCAAGTATGCCAAGCATCGCGATGTGGACGCGAAGCCTAATGTCTTCGTCCAGGGGCGGAATGGCCCATCAGGATTTAGGAGCCATTGCGTCACTAATCTCCCAATAAAAATTTCAGTCCTCGTCGTCATTTTCCCTAAGGATAGCTAAAGTTATCCTCTTCCATAAAACAATTGAAATTCGCGTGATCGCAACGCGAGTAATCGGCCAGATCGGACAAGATAAGTCAGCCCAGTCGGAGCGCCGAGAGAAAAATGTTGGTGCGATATCCCTGCTGCAAACGCGCCATCCCGAAAATGGTCAGACCTGTCCGAGAGAAAAGGAGCAGGTTCTCTGTTACACTTCCTTACACGAGTAATTATGACCGTATTTGTCAGCAGTTCGGATCACTGCTACCTTCTTGCCGTCTTGCTAACTCCTCTTCTTCCCCTACCACCCTAACCCTTCCTTTATCTCTCTTATTTTCAATTTTTATAACAACCACCCGTCCTTTTTCTCTCCTATCTATTTCCACCTCCGTTCCATATCCTTCTATGGACTTTCCTTACTTCTTTCTTCGTCGACAATCCTCCACTGGCGCTCCACCTTTCTCCATTTTTCTTTTATCATTCTCGCAACCTTCCACGTGCATGGGCTTCGTAATGAACCGTGGAACTTAAGGATTCTTGGATATTGAAGATACCATCTGGTAGCAGTAGTGACCTAGTCTAAGCAGGTTAGATTTCCTGATTTCCTGAAGGTCCTCTGAAAATCAAAAGATTTCAATCTTTTTCCTTCTACCTTGTTTCAACCTCCTAGGTACCTACATCTCCCGGATCCTTTGCATAAATCCTACGCCATATCTTCGTGCACTTGTACGCGTTAGTCGCGATTCGCCTCTCGACCAAACGTTTCCTATCGACAATGCTCGCTGCCGAAGCGATGCAACGTATCGGGGCACCACCCACGCATCCCAGTCAACACGGTTTCATATATCTGCCCGCATCCGGACGTATGTACGTAGGTAACGTACGATATCCGGAGCTCATCGTGTACATCGACGCGCTCGTTCGAGGAACGAGAGCCGTCGGTGGCTAGTGAAATTTTAATTTGCTTGCTTTTCTTCAAAATTCCACGAAATGCTTACACTGTAAATATTCGACGCGCGTTATAATGGCGAAGAGACGCGGATCGCGGCGATCTTCGCGAGAGAACCAAGATTCCGCCCGATCGTTTCGTGGAATCTCTTTTTCATTCCTTGTCTCCTCTCGATGTTGTTTTCGACTTTCGTTTTGCGAACGGAAACACCGCACGTTCTATTTCGTTTCGACAGCAGATTTTCACAGCAAAATTGCTCGCTTCTTTTCGCGTTGACGTGCGAAATGGAAATTGAAAAGAGAGAGAAAAACGGCGGTGAAAAAAAAAAAAGATAGAAAGGAAATATCGGAAGAGGCGGAGGGAAACTCGACGGGGAGTAAGACGTCACGAGGCTGGCAAAAGCAAACGTTGTAAAGTCAAGAGAAGTAGGCAAGTTTATTGGTAGCAAGGTGCGAAAAACATTGGATTGTTAATAACGGTGAGCGTCGTAGCCCTTTTAAAAAAATGTGAAAACACGTTCTTTCAGCGAGCCCGTTCTCGCGCCGTTCCACGATGGAACGATTCGAACACGATATTTTTAGATAACGCGTAAACTTCTCGAGTCTATCTCTCCTGGTATAAAATATATTTTTTATCCGAGTATATCGGCCGGCATCGCTGCATTTAGAAGCCGCGCGAAACGTTTCCACCGACGCGACGCGATTACTTTTCCTCTTTTGCGATTAACCTTTCGAGGAAACCAAAGACACGGTTCGACGTTAAATCGGGTTATCTGGTCGATATTATAAAACAATGTAGGCCTAGTGGACTTTCAAACAATAATATTGATTACTACCGTTAGATTGTTGCAAGACGATTACGGTTTTCATACTGGGTCAACGGTGGATTACAATAGCAATGGCTATCGGTGCTCGGCATAGGTCATCGCTGGATTACCATATTATGTCACAGAAAGATCTAACCGAGTCGAAAGATAATTGCATTACCATTTGAAATTCGTTGAAATTGAATTAAAGCATTCTTTAAGGTTGCCGTTCATCGGGTTTTAACAGCCTAATCCGACGATAACCTCGGAAGGCACGTAATCAGAATTTTCCTTCGATTTAGTATACCGCGAGGACGGTGGTGAAAATAGAAACTCGCGACGGATCTCGTAAGAATTTACATCACGCTCGTATATCAGCGGCTCGAAGCCGCGAAATTATAGCGCGTATCATTCGCGGGCGACTAACGCGTGCCAAATGGAAGGAAATAACGTAAGTCAGCCCGGAGAGGACGAGGGGTGCGGGTCGTAAAGAATACGCGACACGATGCTGTAAGAAAGCGTTGAAACCATTCGTTAGGGTTCCGATGTTTCGTCACCGTTGAAGAGGGGGGAAAAAAAAGGAGGAGGAGGAGGAACGGAAACGATCGAAGAAAGGGCGCGGGAAAAAAGCGCGCGTAATTGAGACGAGGAAAGGACGCGATAGGAAAGCGTCTGGTGTATCGAGAGAGGCGAGAAAGCCATGGATACAACTGGTGTGTAAAGAGCTCGAGAGAGGAGAGGAGAGGAGAGGAGAGAATGAAACGACGAAGACGCGTTTGAAAAGCAAACGACCGAAAGTGGTAGGTGGAGGAAAGGGGGCAAGGGGAGAAAGTTCTTCGGTGTGCTGCCACACTCAGAATGGAGTCGAGTGCCAGAGAGTCGGTTGTCCGTGTATTTCAGGCGGCACGGGCCACTGCACTACCCCTACTACTTGTGTCGTACGTGCTATGTATATCGTACCTTTCATATAATGCACGCCACCCGGAGACACGTTTTGTGGGACCCCGATGGATAAATGCCCTCGCTGCTCTAGGCGCCGACGCTACCTTCTCGAATACCCGCCAGACGCTAACTTATGCCCTGCGGAATCCGGCTCTAGGGAAAAGAAAAAAGGGAACGAACGCGGTGCTCTGTCGTTCAACTATTTCCAGTCGACTGCCGATCATGATAACACAGATCAGATTTTTCGGGAGAATCTCAAACGGGATTCCTTTTCCCTTCCCGTAGTTTCGGTTGCTTTTGCGCATTCTACTAGCCGCAACGATTAGCAACTATTTTAAGGTTTTCCCGGTCTATGAAACAGAAATCGTCTTGACGATGTACACGCGGAGAGACAGTAATTCTCGTGATCCATTAAGTCGTTAACACGCCATTTTGCGTGTCCAGCTTGCGTATGTCAACCGTTAGTAAACTCGCATAGTCCATATAAACATAGTATCTCCTTTTAACGGTATCAACCCTCTCGCATTCCCTGCCTTGAAAATTGATCAGAAGGGAAACGGAAACGTTTCAGAATCGAGCGATTCAATTAACGGGGAGAACCAAAGGGGAAAAAAGGTGAAAAAGAAAGATGGCACCGAACGATCCCTCTCTCGGCCGAACGATGCCGTTTCATTTCCGACAAATATCACTCGACCGGATCGTAAAACGGTGGCGCGTAATTTTCTGAATGCACCACCGTAAACGCTGGCCAACCACGCTTGAAATTCGATTAATGAGCAGCGGCGGGAAACCGGGCGATGGAATAAGAGAGACGGGCAGAGAGCAAGGACGAAGAAAAAGTTGACCGGACGGCGGAAGGAATAAATAGCTCGGCGAAAGAGCAAAAGGAAAATCGCAGAGACCCTGCCAGATGTAGAAATCGAACTGTGCGATCGGCGAATTCTTCGTAATTTCTTGCAAACGCCAAGCCTGTTTCGTGACTCGGAAATTACTCTCTCGTGCGGCTAACGCGTATCCCTTGAAAATTTAGTGGCATCGATATAGCCACTAGAGGCGTTGCACGTTTCCGATCGACGCCCGACAAATTCAAACGTTTTCTCCTTCTCGTTACGCGCGTCGCGTGTTTTTAAACGAGGAGAAAAATTCCGTGGGCGGTGATTCGCGTGAACGCGAGATTGAAAATGCAAGCCAGCCAGCCAGCCAGCCAGCCAGCGAGGAAATCGTTGGGAAGATCCAACTGGCGAGATGCGTAAAGCAGGGCGCCGACTCCGGGATTCCTCGTAATTTCTTCCCCGTTCGGACGCGAACCGGCCTCTCGTCAGTCATCGCTGTTTAACGCATCTGTCGCGCGCGGTCGGCACAGTTAAATAACTCGAATGATCGCGGAGGATTTAGCCGTCACGCGTTCCCCTCCGCCCACCGTTTCAAGCAAAACTCTTCTTTCTTCGACCGCGAACGACGAACCGTCTATCAACGGTCGCAACGACGAATTGCCGTGTGAGGTCGGTCAGTAAAAATACCAACGCGATATTATTGAGTGAGTCAGGGAGAATAAGCGGCATCCGCGAAGCCCGTTGCAACGGATGACTCCCCTTCCCTCCATGCTGCTTGCATGAAATTGATGGAAACAAACGAGCACCGGGGTTACCGGCGTGATTACTCTGCCTCTGACGTTATCTGCGTCGTATTTTCGGACACGTGGCGAGTCGGCCGCGTTCATTTTCTGCGCGCCGATTATTATCGCCGGTTGCGCAAACGATCCCGCGTGTCTGCTACATTTTTAGCATATTATTTCAGTGGCTCTGTAATTAAACGGACCCGCTCGTGATCCAGTCTCTCTCTCGCCCGTCTCGTTAACCTTCCGCCGGGCTAAACTGAACCGCGTCACGAGATTGTGGATCACGCGTCCCATAAAATACAAGCGAAATGCTTGAAAACCGTAAGAATAAGAAGAGGATCCCGAGCAGCTCGGTGATGAAGCAGAATCGATATAAAATCGATTTTCATCCATCCTCGACAACCGATCAAAACATCTTACTATCGTGTAAATGTAAAACTAAAAAATATTCAATGTTAACGTTCGAGGGGAATCGGAAGGGCAGCAAGCTGATCCCTGACTAGACCATCGTTGGTAAGTCAACCTTCATCCCGCTTCGAAGGGTATCGAGTATAATCGTCTGGATCGTCTGGATCGTTGCAAATCAAACTTTTATCCTGCCAGAATGGCATCGATTAATATTTGAACAGATTGAGATCGAGATCGCGCGCGCGGTGAGTGGACTGGCAGCGTCCATCAGGCTTTGGAGGCGTCCGGGTACGCGCGATAAGCCTCGCTCCGTTCCGAAGGCATTGAATAATCTCTTCGAATCGGCCCTCGAACTCGACATTTGCATTTGTAACGCGGTAAGAATCGTGAGCTGAATTTTCAGCCTGCCGACGAATTGGTATGGCTCGTTTCGGAGGAGGAGCCTAGGGATAATTTAACCTAGAACCTCCTGCTGCCTCTTCCCTAGGACGAGGCCGCGAGTGCAAGAATCGGCACGGCGACGCGCGTCGAACGCGTATTATACCCGCAGACGATATATTCCATCGTGCACGCCTACGTGATGTCATGCGCGCGTCAGAAATGCCGACCTTGCGGCTGCAGGCTCAAGTCAGTGCACGCGTAATGCGATGCATTTGTATTGGCCAAGCCTTTCGGCCGATCCCACCATTGGTCCGCGCTGATAAGCATACCTACGCTGCGCAACCTATATGCATCGCCGAGCGCATACGGTTCGCGTATCTAAAAGTAAGTACGTGGGTATACGTTGAAAGTAACCCGTAGAAAGATCGTCGCCCTGGCGAGCCCGAGTTGGGTCCACGTAGTAACGAGCCGGGACCTCGAGGTCGAACAACGTTTCTTCAAAATCATCATCATCCTCCACCACCGAAGCTATTGTCGCTTCGTCTTCGTATATGACGCGGCTTTGTCACGGATTTATCGGATCGACTCACAAGTCCATGTACGTAATATTTTTCCTTGTTGCAAGTGGAGGATAAACCGGTGGATAAGGCAGGGCTATTTTTAGTAGTCCGACCTTCTTAAATTCTCTGTTGTTAGAACAGCTATACGGTCAACTTTCGCGTCGCCAGTCTGCCAGTTACGATAGATAACGAGGTAGGTTGGTTTACATCTTCTACGTTTCCGGCGCCAAAAGGATTCCTGTTGCACGTCCGCTCGTCTTCCCTCGATTGAATAACCGCGAATGGAAACGCGTACGCGTCGTAACTCGAGTTCGTGTTTGAAAGGTAGCATTATAAGAATTCAGCGAGGAAACGTTTCGATATATAAATCGTCTCGCAAGGTCTCGTACACGTATCACGATTACAAAGCACAATTTTAACGAATTGAAAATCTGATCGCTCTCGGACGTTGCATTGAGTTAACAATATTGGAATGGTGCCACGGTTTAATGCCGGCTTAAATCAAATCTGTCCAACGACGGCTGATCTCTACTGTCGGCGAGTCGCTCGTTCGTACTACTGTCAACCTCACGCTGGCACGTGTCAATTCTCGAGCCAAGAAAACTGACCGATTCCCTCGATCCTGTTCGTCCAGTCGCTTTTGTTGCTCCGCACACGTTCTCACAATCCACGCCATTCACAATCCACGCGGTTTACCCTCATTTTTTTTTTTTTTTGCAAAAATTAAATAAAAAAAAAAAAGAAAACGCTATTCGTCTCGGTAGATTCATTACCTGTAACTAACCGTTAAATCACGAACAGCGAACCTTTACCCGTTAACGTTCGAGCAGCTCTATTAATCAGTCATCAACGTGTAATGGCAAAAACCATAATGACATATAATTGGTGTGGTTAGCAGCGTACAAGTTTATCGCTACGTGACTCGAAGATAATGGATAAATGTGACGAGATTCAACGGATACATTTTTTTTTTTTTCTTCTTTTTCTTTTTTCTTTCCGTGGAAAGAACGAGTCCGAAGGCGTCAGGGAAAATCACTCCGAGATTCGTGTCACGGTAGGAAATACCACGCCTTCGAAATAACAAGAACTCATTGGACGATAGGTAATAACGATGTATGTGGTAGTTTTCCTCCGTCTCGTTGCGTTGGTTCAAACGGGTGCGAAGACAAACGCGTTGGATACGCGACGATGAATAATACATTCCTCTCCGCGCTGAAGAACGAGAATTCGATTAAATTGGAACGGCAATCGGTGCTTACGGAGAATCGAAAGAAGCTGCGAAGATATTTATCCTACGATAGTCAGAGGGATTCCCGAATCATTGCACCGAATGATGACACTTTTCTAGTTTACTCGAGGGAAGAATTCCAAGCGGTTCTCGGTCACCGATCAACCAAGTTACCCAGAATTCCCCGGGAAAGCGAATCGCTCGCAGGCTTCGGGTTCAAGGTTCTAAGGAAGCCTGTTTGCGTACAGTTCCGGCGATCTCGTTGCAGATGAAAGATAACCAACGACCAATCAGAAGGTTCGTTCGAAGGAACGTTCCGCGGCTTCCGATAATGCGTCTCTCCGATCGTTAAGCCTTACCGAGAAATTGATTTAACCGTGTGTCACCGTGTTCTATGAAAACGTAACGATTCTACAAAAAAAAAAATTACTCTAATTGAATCCTATGATGCAACGATGCAATTACGAGGACGTTTAAGTAACACAATAGATACTTCAAATCTATTCTTTCGAAAGGGGACATTTTGCAGTAGGTAAATCGTAATCGAGACCTTATCACGAATGTCCGTGAGAACGAGCCTTAAGGAGCACGTGAGAACTAGGAAGGCTAGCCTCTGCTACTTGGCAGGCGCCAAGTGCGATCGAAGTAGCGCTCCGGTGTCTTCCATCAAACGGGATTCATCTCTGTAAATCATCGGTGACGCTCGTATTCGACTCACGCGGTACACCCACTTAACGTTCAGGATGTAAACTTTCGAGTGGTTCGCATGCTGCTGCATTTTCACCTTGGCTCGTGGCCGTCGCCTTAAGGCCCGCCAGGCACGTACCGTGGCCGTGCACTTACGAATACGACACCCGGGCCAACGACAAATGTCACGGGAACCATTGGGAACCATTGTGATCCTTGGTGAACACGGAAAAAAAAAAAAAAATAGGTCAACGTTACATGGCAATGAAAAGCCGAAACTTGGATGAAAAGGATGAAAAGTATGAAAAGAAGACCTTTGGAAAGGAGACACCACTTAGGAATCGGCAGACAAGCGACGCCGAGGTGCCACGAAATGCATCGAGCATCGCGAAAGCGAGCAGGGGGATGAAAAAAAGGAGGAGGAGGAGGAGGAGGAGGAGGAAAGGAAGGGAGAATCGAATAGCTGGTTCACACGATTCGATCGCGTCGGCACTTCTCGTCCTCTCTCTTCTTCGGGTTGCAACTCACCGGCTCTTGCCGGTGTACTCTCCCTGTTTTTTCTGGGCCTTGTTACAGAAACACGACGAGCCCCGGAGAAACGGAAGGCCGATGCCTTTTTTCAGGATCCAATCGAACGATCGGCGAGCCGCTGACGGGAGAAGGTAAAAAAGACTGCGTTCAAGTACCGTGTAAACGAGGATATCCGAAGAAAACGAACGTTCCATTTCTAGCGAGGAGATTATAAAGGGATGACATTCGCGAAGGTACGGCTCGCTTCAACGAAAAGGAACGGTACAGATATGATTGTTTGCGAAGAAACAACGGAAAGCATTCTTTATCTCGATTCTTCTGAAACGCCTATCAAAATGATATAAATCATGCGAAATTATGCAATTTATTTGTCAGTCGATCTCTCGGTGATAAGGTAAATTGCGGAGTTGTGAAAATAACATTCGAGTCTTGTTAATTTCAAAAACATCCAAGACTCGAGGTTTATATGGAACATAGCTCTCCCTTTATTGGCTATCGAGGGTGTACAGTGTCGAGCAAGGACCGACAGAGTGTAACAGTAGCAATCTTCCAACGATAGATGAAATCACTGAGCTTAATGGACGGTCTAATTACAAACGTAAACAAACCGTACGCTATCGATATCTTTTATGCGTGTTCGTAACGTTAGAAGCACGAGCCTTCCAGGAACTTGAGAGAAGAAGTTTAATCCTTTGCAGGTGGCAGCACATAGTTTCACTTACTGACAGACGATACCTAAACATTACGTCCTTTGTTTCCTAACAGACCCCGACCCTAACCCGTTCGTTTCCCATGTAACTCTTCGCTCCGTATTCGAGAACATTCCAATTTCAAAAGCGACTGAAATCCGATCCGTGATTTATCGTTTCCTCCTGTTCCGTTGTGCCAACTATGTTTTGGCTGTCACTGGATTACGGGGTTATGGGATCTTAAGAATTTGCAACTAGCAAACTTGAATTACTTGTCTGCTTTTATTATTTTAGGGAACAATTTTTTTCTATGAGAACCCTGGCGCGAAACCATGGCATATCTGCCTGTACACTCCAGTGCAACGTAGGCAAAAGACAGAGGGCGCCACTCACCCCTTTCACTTTTCCTAGGGAACCCTAGATTGGACCTTATACCGCCTCCACATTAACGATAAGTATTCGCTGAGACCGTACGATTCACTGCAATTTACTTTTCCCAAAGCCCATTGTGGACGCGACATTAGGGCTGGTACCCAACAGCCTACGTGTTTCCATAACGCCACATCTCGCGACAAGGCACGTATATGTTCTTTTTCACCGATCGAAATCACACGGTGGAGGAGAGTAGGGTTTATAATACGTACGAGGGCACGCAATTTCTCCGGTCTGGCTGGTACTAAGAAAGCGTCGCTTACATAATCAATGAACATCAATAACCCAGACGGAATTAAAGCCCACGATTTACATTGTTTCATTTGGTTACAATGTAACGCTCGCGCTTACATGGGCAGGCTGTGAATATCGGTTCAGAGTCGTGCGCATATTCCCGTTCGATATTGAATGCGAGACATTGTCCGCAATTTCTCCGCTCGCGTTACCGACAGACCCCTTCTCGCGTATGCGCTCAATTTCTCCTGGTACTTAGAAGGAAATTAATGCATTCTTTCCAACTTAATTCGTCCCCGCCTGTTCTGCATACAATGGGCAACGGTTCACCGTCCCGCGTCATTATCGTCTCCTCTCGTAATTAGATTCGTCCAACGTTTTACACGTGTACTTATTTATTGTTTTGCTCGAAGCAGCGACGGATCAAGAAATCTAAGGAGCCCCGACCACGTTTTAACACAGTTTAAAAAAAAGAAAAATTTGATATCTAGTTTCGAAGCGAACATAAACGTCGATGATTTCTTTTTATCTAAACGAACGTTCGATTTCTCCCGGAGAAAAGTTGTCGCTATCGAGAGACGGGAAAGTCCGTAGACCGCAGAGACTGGATTCCAATCGCAGGACGAAATGAAAATGTATCTTTTCGACGCGTAAAATTGTTTTCTCCGCCACATTCGCTTGAAAATTCATCGATCCATGGCGCCGGTTATACGCCGCCGAGTAAGCGAAGAGAAATTTCGCGACTCCGTCACCAGATAAGGGAACACGGAGAAAGGGGTGCGCGCCTCTCGAATAAGAAAAGTCAAACGAGGCTCGAGTGTTGGTGCGACGAGATCCGGCGAACGTTAACGCACCGCGTTCTGTACGTGTACGCGCGGTGCATGCTGCACATACGTAACGAGGAATCTCGTTTCGTTGCGTCTGCTGACCTTGGAAGCATGCGCTCTAAAAGAGCAAAACCGACAAATAAACGTCTTCGTAATTTTAGATTCATCAAGTCCGAACGAGCTGTGTCCCTCCTTTCTCCCTCCCTTCTAGCACCCTTTTACAGACAAGAGGAAAAACGGTGTCTAAGAATTTTACAATTTTACAATTTTACAAAAAATTAGACTCGTTTGCCTAATTAATTAGGTTGCTCTTATAAATTGCCTGGAGGTAAGTGAATTAAAAGCATCTCCATTTCCGAACTACATATTAACAACGATGAATGAGGTGGATCACCAAATGGACTGTAATACCGCGGTGTCATCGTACGTCATTCTGTGTCACAACGTCGCGTTACCATTTAATCGTCTGGGTCATCGACAAATTGCAACATTGCTCAACGAGCAGCTAACGCGAATAAACAAGTTGAAATGCAATTTCATACGGTAACGTGGCCGATGATGAATGCTTTCAATTTGTCCGGAACGAGTTCGATAAAAATTGCGCAACTCTACGACCGCTTATGAAAATCATTCACCGGCGATCTGTTAACGCGGAAACTGATTGACGGTGTGGAATGCGTTAAGCGCAAACCGCACCTAAAGCAACAGTTTGACGAGTAATGCGAGCGGACAGCTTATTTTGTGTATCCTGCCGTGCCCCGTCCGGTCTGTACGATCCAATCATCCATCAGATAGCATTATAGTGTCTCAATGAACACTTCCACGACGGCTAGCGACTGTTAACTTATCAACAATGTACACCTCCCTCCAAAGCGTAGGGAGTCCTAAAGCTTCCACTCTGGCGGTGATTATCGCTCGCGGCAACGTACACCGGCGAGCATAAACGATGGGATCTTTTCCCCTAGATGGAGATTTTCCCTAGGGAATCGAAGTGACTTTTACCTATACAATTTCAACGTCAGTTTCTCAAGGATGTTATTGATCTCGAAAGAAAAAAAGAAATGAAAACGATTTGACAGGATACGACTGGTTGAACGCGACTGTCGAAGCAATGTAAAATAAAAAGAAAAGATCCGCAAAAAAGTGACGATGCGCAAAGGATAGAAGAGAAAGAAGAACGAACAAGTCCCGTGGCGGAGGTGGTGGTAAGTCGTTTTGTGTCTGCAGCCCGTCTAAATATACGCGGGTCCTCTCCTCGGCGCGACATAGCCTTTCTCGCGACACAGAGAGAGAAACGCGACTATCTCGTTCGTTAGAGAAATCTTTGCACGGTGGAAAAGCGAAAATCAGCCAAGTCGACTGGCAGAGGAGGTATCTGTTTGCGATCGTAGGAAGGGAACGGAGAGTTTCGTACTCTCATTGTCAGATAAGCGTTTAATTGTCGCGTTTGATACCGGCTGCCTGCCGCTTAAGAGGCGCGTGCACGTTTGCGGAGGCGGATTTCTTAAAATAAACAAGCGCGAGATATCGTGTTTCCGAAGTATTCGGGCAAGTCAAAACATCGCGCGCGACATCGTGTTGTTTATCGTATCGTTGCCTCTTGCAAATAGCTTTGCTTTCACTGGCAAACAATTCGCATGGGTAAGCGCAACGTCTGCTTTCGGTTCCGTTAACCATCGAAAGGGTCTACGCGTCGCCATTTTCCCTAGGGACGTCTACCATGCTAGCCACTGTACGCCCAGGTGGCAACGTCGACGAAAGGCAGAGGGCGCCTCCCATTGTTTGCTTTCCCTAGGAAGGTCTACGTTGCCCGAAAGTGTACACTCTGTTAGTCAGCCAGACGAATAACATTCGTTGAACGTACAATAACCTATTCAATCGTTAACTACATTTACGTAACGTCCAAGAGTTCACGGTTAGCATAAAAAGTTCCATTCTACGATGACGGACAGGAGAAGAAAAAGATTTCGCGGACGGAGACGAACGGCAGACTCGAAAACAAAGAACCGTTCAAACTTTAACCCGGTCGACTTATTTTCGTCTATTTCAAAAGTAAATTATTGCCTGGCACTGGTTGCGTGGTTACACCGCCGCGTGTCTAGCGAACGTTGTTTCTTTCATTTATTTTTACGTTTCTTCAAAGCGTTCACGTGCCGGTACCGAACGTAAAGAGACCTATTCATAAATCGGGAGGCACGTACCGGCAAAACACACGTGACTACGACACGTATGATCCTTCGAGGTGTGCTGAGTCGCGCATTCCTTGCTATATAAATTCTTCGAGCAGAGCCAAGCGAATATAAATGTCTATATATTTGTCATACGATTAACTGTACCACGCGATGTGTAGTAGCGTGATTAACATCGACCACGTGACAGGGAAACGTTTTTCCCTCCACCTAAGACCATTAATTTCCCTCTTCTTAATGCCTTAACCTTATTTTTATTCCGCAAATATCTGACACGAACACGGTAATCTCATTTTACGAACAAAAAGTCCTGCGAAGGTGCGATCGTCTGGGTAACAGGCACGTGCCTCAAATACGATGCCATGGATATTTGGTGACGAAGGTAATTTAAAAATAAATTAGGTTGATTTATCGAGAAAGAAGTCGTACAGCGAAAACGTTCTAGACCGCGATCCATCGACAAAAATGAAATACGGCACCGAGAATATCCCCAGACGCGTCTCTAGAAGAATCGAACGACCGGTCGTACATTTCGCGCGAAATACACGCGCGTGTGACAAAACGAGAGAGAACGATCACCGGTGTATGTTGTAAGACGAGAAAACAGTCATTTGCCCGGTCAAGTGATTTCGTGAATTAAAAATACGTCCGAGATTTCGTAAGGAGGTCGATATATCAAGGACGGGACGTGCCCTGTTTATTCGAGCCCGCATTATTATTGGGATCGAAACGTACCTAATAGAATTAACATCATCGCCGTTCAAAGATTATCAATTTCAGTGTGCGCTGGACCGAGCTGAAACGTCCGAGTCGCAAATAACTTTGACGCAACTGATTGAAAATTGAATAACTCGTCTGTCGTCCTGTCGGGCACGTGCTTCTATAATAAAAGACTAAAGTTTGAAAAGCTAAAGCGAACGATGGGTGGTGACAGCGTTAATATCGCAATCAACGGATGCCTCGATAATTGTAGATCGAGCTGCGGGCCGGACACACAGGTGGCATACCTTCCTCGCCTCGCGTCTCAGCGAATAATTGAAATAAACGAGCGACGGGCAAGAGATTTATCTCGGATTCGTTCGCGTCGCCGGAACACGCCTCCGGAAGAAATAAAAAGCTCCACGGTAAAGGGACTATTACCTCCGAGACTGGACACGCGAGTCTGGCCGTCGCGTCGCGTCGCGTCGCGTCGCGACGACTCTCAGCATCGCCGCAAACACCGCGTTCCCCCTGCAAGGGCAAACTACTCGCTTTACGAACGTGGTAGGCCTTGGTCTACCGCCGACTCAAACTTGCTCGAGGAGGATTCGCGTAATTCATCGCCAAAGCGGACGCAGACATTTTGTTCAAAGGGTGGAAAAAATTCTTGCACGCTTCTATAGTAATCGGAGTGTTTAAGATGGAACGTTAAATTGTATGAAAGATTCAATGGTTCTTTTTCACTGGACCTTATTGAGACATGAGCGAGGCATATTTTTTTTTTAATTACGGCAAGCCAGGGTACGCTTGGTTGATTCAAAGTCGAGCCTCCTGTTCGACGGGTCGTTAATGCGGTGATTTCTGACGGTGCTTACCGGTACCGGATATTTGCATCTCGCCATCTATACGTATTCGAAATTGTAGGCATTATGTATCATTACCCGTTGAATCGGCCGCGATCGTTCATTTTACAAATCGATTTACGAGCTTCTGTACAGCCTTGAACACTTCTATTATACCTTGTCAAGCTCCTCGTCTCGACAACTGTTATTGCACTCGGATATAAAAAAAAAAAAAAAAAAAAAAAAAAAGAACCGACATTCCGTAAAAGAGAAAGAAACGAAGGTCACCTTGAAATCCGTCTTTCTCGTTGCTCGTTAACTCGAGGTCCTACCTTTCGCAACTTCCGGGAGAGCCAATTAAACAAAGAAAATCTGAATCGTTCAATTTATTCAATTTAAAAATTTTCAAATGCCCTATGGTTCTCCAAAGACTAAGGATCAACGATGTGGCAATGACGCGACAAGGCAAGGATTTTTCAAGATCGTCGGACGAAGGAAAGTAGCTGGTAGCGTGTGCTTAAAAGTTCCTGAAAGGTCTTGCGTAAATGGATCTTATTCACGTGCGGCACGATCTCTGTCCGAGCACGCTCTCGCACCCTCTCATTCCCACCGCGGACTCACCGCGATTCTTGCTACATGATTCGCGGCTAATTGGCCGCAGCCAGCAAGACAACGCGGCCGTTGTCCATTAAAGAAGTTTAGCGATCCGATGCGCGTTTTAAGTAGGTAAATCGCGCGGATGCCTCGACCGTGCCGTCGAAACGAACGAAAGGGCAGAGACTAGCTCCGTGACGATAAAATTTTTCAACGAAAATTACAAAATAAACGACGCTGCGAGTTTATAAATAATCGAAATCATCGTCTTTCCAGAGTTAATCTTCGCATACCTGGGAAATAATCGTGTGAGGTCGCGTGAAGTGCATTAAACCGCGACGCGGCATGAAACTCCGTAGTCGCGCAGGGTCGCCGAGCCGGCAATAAAGACTAATTGAGATTAGCGCCGGCCGTGCTACGTTAAGCAGGTGCCCTAGGGAGAAAAAGAAAGCGGAGGAGCAACGACTGGCAAGAAATAAGAGGAAGAAGAAGACGAGACAACGCGAAGATGACACGTTCCAACTTCAATAGGGAGGTGGGTGCACTCTTCCGACGGACATTCGACACGGAACATTGCTGGTTACGACTTAATATCTTACATGAGAGTACGAGGGCTCATCGACTACATTCTATCTGAATTCTTGTACAAAGAAATGTTTAAAATATTGTAACAAATTAATAAAAATTCTTAATTAATTATTTGATTATATTTCTGTTAACACCACCTATATAATTCACCAGGTGTTGTTTCGTTTCAACGTCCGAGCCGCACAGCTGGTGGTCGACAAATGTTTCCCGTATTGTTTCTTAATCCCATTCAACGGTACAAACAATTATCCCCAATAACAATCGAAGACTTAGGGATAAGTAGGGAAAAGGAAGAAATTTCCGAAAGCCCTCGGGATCGTGTCCAGGTGTACGCGTGTCTACGATCGGCAAACGACTGGTAATCCGTACGGAAGTTATCGGGGTCGACAGGTAGCCGTGTATTTAAGTTCCACGGTCACGAAAAATCAATCAAGGTAGGTCAAGCAGGTACCAGGTGTTTGCTTGTACCAGTCGACCCATGTTCCTCCAGGGATTTCCCCTTGTATTCTTCCACGGTATTACCAATAACAGCGTTCACGGCTAATCCAGTTTTATTTCCTCCTATTCCTAAACAACCAATTTGCCAAACAGGGACAACAGAGTAGGATCTCTTGGATTTTCCCTGAACGCGCGTACAGTTGTGATTAACTTGTACTGTTAGCTTAATTACCTCCACATGCTTCTAAGAGAACTATGCCTTAAAGGCATTCCTTTATTCGACCTAGGGAACCATTTACACGGGTTTTTCCTTGTTCGTGACCGTTACCGAGAGGCAAAAATCGGCAAAGGGTAATTAAAATTTCTAAATAAAATATTCGCCACTGCGTAAAGCAAACAGGTCGCGCGAACGTTATTGGTAACGATCGTTCGGTTAATTTGCTTCATTCCGCGATATCGTTGCTCCTTTTTTTTTTTTTTATTGTTACACGATAACCGAATAAAGTGCTGCAATGCGATGTCACCGATGATAAAACGGTATCTAGACACTCGATGTCATATGCGATGTCATATCAAATTGTCCGCGACGATTTCGCGTCTGGTACGAACGTCGAACAGGATTTTCGAGGTGGCGGATTCTATGGAGGGAACGGAGCAAAGGCTAGATAAGGCAGTTGCCGTGGAACAGGTACGAAACGAGAGTAAGCAGGGCAAGAAATCGAAAGAAAGAGAAAGAATGTACAAACAGAGGCTGCGGACGATACTGGACACTGTTGGATCCTTATAAAGAAGAAGAACGAACCATTTTAGATCTCTCTTTGCGACGAGCCTTTCGACTAACGCGACCGGATACCGCGTTTTCTCTCCTGCCTCGCGTCTACAATCGTAACGCGGGTATCTTCTTCGTTGAAAAATATTTATACGAATAAAGAATTTTCAAAGGCTTCGAAAATCTAGCCAGAGTAACAGAGCAAAGTAGGCTTCCCTAGTTTGCGGTTGATCGAATGAAACGTACTGGAAATGAAAATGTGGAGCTTCGAGAGGTTGCTCATCGGTTTATTAGGAATTAACGCCACGTCTCGTTAAGTCGGCCTTGTTCTACGTACTCTCGAAGGCTCGAGATATGCTTCCACAATCGAAACTACAAAAACATTGCGCAATTATGTGACAAACATCACGTAACAAACAGAATTCCGCAACCGAGCATATTGCTTTTCAATGGTGGTTTCGGAACGCGACAAATTCCTCGCCGAGTATTCCATCGGGGTCTAATATTGTTTTCAACGTAATCGCTTTGGCTCTTATCGTGGTATTGGAGCGTAAATACTTTGTCTCGCAGATTCTCCAACTAATTGTAAATGAAAAATATCGTATCGATGCAACGGCTCGCTTTCTCAATGGTTATCGTGATGCAAACAATACACGCGTCGTTGGAAATCTTTTTTTTTTTTTTTTTTTTCTAAGAGAACTTATTTTAAAAATTATGCTCAAGATCCTACGACTATGATCGTTTAGAGACAAATATCAATTTGCAGACTCGATGCAATTAATAAATATTTACAAGATAGTTACTTGTTTACTATGCACTGACGCAAGTATCGAGGAAATTAGACCCCTATTGACCCTCCGATTTTTCTTATTTCAAATCAATCATAGAAATTCCCTCGTACAAAGCGCAATTACGCGTGTTTGCTCACCGAGGGGAAATAAAAATCTCAATTTATCAATTATCGATAATTATCGAAGAACCGTTGCTCCGATGTTGGATGCGGTGCGGATGGTTAGATCCGTCGGTTTAGCGCGCGGAGTTTCGGGTCAACGTATAGTTCAGGAGTTGTTCAACTCGAACGTAAACCGCTCGGTATGTGGGTGCAGTTAAACGGGTTATCGGGTGTTCAGATATACGTGCAATCGGAACGATGCGACGACGGTTTTCTGCGGCCCGACGGGAAGAAAATTACGCAGCCAGCCAGTCGTCGGAAAAATGTCAACGAGACGGATATAATCGTATCGTATCTGTGCAACGACTCTCCGTGTTTACATATTTACGCGCGTTAACGAACGTATGATTTATGCCTTGTACGGTTTGTATCCATGCTGACGCGAGTAGTCGTTTCACTGACCTCTGCTCGCATCAAGCTTTTTAATTACCCTCTAGTGAATGAACGCGTTATTTTTCAATCGTACGTTACCTATCCTCGATCAATTATTCGATGGGTGCGAAACGAAACGACACGCGTGGAAACGGAGACGCGCCGCGCCGCGCCGCGCCGAGTGATACGGATTAAGATTCGGCGCACTGCGCATATGCACTGCGCAGCTGCATTAATTCGGCGCATGCGCGCGGTCGATTTTTGCCGCGAACGCGTAACGCGTGCCGAGATCGAGAAACCCCCCTTTTTCCATCGAACGACAGAACCTGTTCCTTACTATTCATAAATTTAATTAACCGCACGATTGGTCGGTTAATTCCTTGAAACTGGCATGATTTATTTCTCCCTCTCCCATAGATTTAAAAACTTTTTTTGTATTTTTCTTTCATCTTTTCAATTGGTGCTCCTTCGTTAAATTGATTACTAGATTTCTGAATTCGATATCTCATTCGTCTGGTAACTCGATCGTTATTAAAGGTAAGTATTACGCTACGTAATCTAGAAGCAACTGTAATTAATCCCTGGCCATACAACCGCATTTCCTCTCTCGAAACATTTTTGCTTAAATTGTTGAGCGTTCTACGAGAGCGTTTCGCAAGCTGGCAAATTACGACTAATTCAATATATTTAGCTGGAACATTATAATACTTGAATGTTAAGTGAACGCAATAACGATGTATGAATATGCGCCGTAGGGAAACGAGATTACGGGCTGGCGAATAAAAACAAGCGATGTTTGAAACTTGTACGGTTGTATCGCTCAGCGCGATTACAATGCGAATCCATTAACTCGTTTAAACATCTGGGTCAGTACGAGGTGTTTAAGAACCGGTATTGTACTTCCTGTGTCATCCACCAGTAGGTTCGTTATTCTAACGAACCCTAACTCGAATAGTAGGAAGATTCAAAAGAGACAATCGAGCGGTTCGATTCCCGCCTTTTTCACGCGGCCTGCTCGTTACGTAAATGCGGCTCTCGTCTCACGGCGAGAAGCCCGGTATTTTCGAACGTTCTCTAACCTTTAAAGGAAAAGAAACTGCTCGTATTCTGACGAAATCAACGAAGCAAAGCACGCGCGGCCGGTAGAGACCGGTAGCCCCGACGTTGGTGGTGATCTACGTCAAAGCAAGTCACACGTCGATCGTTGAAGTCAGTCAGTCAGTAAGTCAGGATAGCCGGCACCTAACGACGCGAGATGGGAAAAGAAAAAAACGTGGCCGCGCGTGGAAAATGATAAAAATGCGCGTTTAACGAAGAATGGCGACTTACCGGCGGCGCGATGAGGTCTTCTCGTCCAGTCGTCTTCGATCAAGGGCGCGACCCTACGTGCGCGTAGAGTCAAAGGGCAAGAAACGACGATAAGCAAGATCGACAAGAGACCACCGTGGAAATGCATCTCGCTTGTTTTCCTGTCTGTCTGTCTCTCGCGTTATCTTCTCCCTCGCTCTCACGTGTCTTCTATTCACTGTCTCGTCTCGTCTCTGGCACTCGCGCACGTATGTATATACCGACTTTTCCTTCCTCTCTTTTCCACCTTAACTTCTATCTCTTATTTTTCTATTTCTATCTCTTTCCCCCCCGAGTGTCTCGTTCCTCTCGTCGAATGCGCCTGCCTGTCTGTCTCTCTCGCGGCCGTTTGCAGCCGCGGCACTGGTCTATTAACGACCGTTCACTGCACAAAACTCTTTTCTGCACTCTCTCTCTCTCTCTCTGTCTCTATGCCACAGTACGCGTCTCGCACCACCTTATATATTCGAGGACTCCGAACCGTGTAAACGCGACAGGGTTCGAGGGTGGAGGGGGACGAGGGGTGTAAAACGGCAACGAGCACACGAAAAGCCGATGACAACGACGGCGGCAAAAGGCGACGACGGCCACGATGGATGATACGTAGACAGGTCGTGCGAACGTGTACGATAATGATTAGAAACAATCAACCGGGCCGGGGGCGGGTGAGCCCGTGCTAGCCGCAATATTTACTGCAGATAACGCGAGAGGTGTGTATCCGTGCACCGTGTTCGAGACACGTTAAACGAGCGCATCCGACGGCTTAATAGGCTAAGGTACACACGCAGCTTCGTTATTCTTTTCTTTCTCTTTCCCTCGCTCCGGCTCCCGCGATCCCTCTATTTTATCTCTTATAGCTTATTCTTTCCTCTCCTCTTCTTTTCGTAATTTTTTTTTCGCTATCTTGTCTCCTCTTTCTCTGTTTTACCGAGTGTGCAGCGTTCCTCTCTCTTCTTCTTCTTCTTCTTCGGCTTCTTCTTTCCACGTTCTCGTGGTCGCGCGTTCCGTGTTACTGCGCGCGCGTTTTATAAGGCGGTACACAACGAGCGACGAGTTTCGAGAGAGACGAGAGGGACACGAAACGGAGTGCTGCTGGCGTGGTTGGCACTTCTCTTTCTCTCTTCTTCTCTCCTACTCCGTTTCAACCGCTGTCTTTCGCGCACCTTTCCGCCTCGCTCTCTTTACCTACGATTCGTACGTGTCCGTCTCTTTCTCGCGGTGCAATGCCGGCACGCATCTGACACGGCACCTATCGCGGGGTCGAACGATGCGTTTACCGCGACAATTTTACTCTGAAATGATTCTAAACGAACGAACGAACGAACGAACGAACGATAGAAGCAATCTACAGAGATGCAATTCTATCGAGGTAATAAGTTTTCACGTTGCCGGTTCGTATCAGATGATCATCGAAGGCGAAATCTCGACGCTTGCTCGAACGTTGCATCGCGCGCCTGCGTGGCGATATTCCCCGCCGCTCTCGGTATACGTACATATACGTCCACACCTAAGACTTCGATCGTGATTTACAATTAGCGTTGGTTGGCACTAAAAATCCTTTCTCACCGTTTTACTTCGGTCTCGGTAACTCTTCTCACCGGCCTCTTTGAAGGCGAACCAAGAGACAGAGCAGTGTGCGCGTCTGACACGGTCGCCGCGTGACTGCCGTGACTGACTAGCCGATCGTGAGTGACTGCTGACTGGTGGGAAGCTGTTACTCGGCTTGCTCTCTACGTCCGTGCCGCCACTGAATCTGATGTATTTGATCATCGGCGGCACCGTCTCCGTCCTCTCCGGCTGGCTCGCTCGAAAAAGCTTTTGCTTTGGCGCTTGCGCCACCACCAATTGCTTTTTCGCTTTCGTACGCGTAAGCGCGCCTCTGCCGGTAACATAAGTGTTGTGCACGCTGCTCCGATCTACGTTCTTGCTGTATCGCGTATGTAGCCAACAACACAGGCACAAGATAGAGGAGAGGAGGCAGAACGACACGACACACGACACACGACACACGACACGACACGACACGACACACGGCTTTGCCCGCGGAAGCGTCGCTCTGTCTGGCGCTTGTAACTCGGTAATACCGGCCTTCTCCTCGTTCTTCTCTTCTCTCTTATAATAGTTTTCAACCACGTGTGTTCTCGGATCTCGAATGGGAAATTTTCCTATCGAATCCGCGCGAAAACGTAAGCCGAACTGGCTGCAGGCCGATTTCGGCCGCGATTATCTCGAGATAATCGCGCCTCGCGTTATCTACCGGCGAAGGAAAACAAAAATTTAAAAAAAGAATTCGATCTTATCGTCGACGGTTTTCTTATTCGTTCTCGAAATCAATCGTTCGATTACGGGAGACGTGACACGGTTTTCGGTGCCTCTTCACTCGATTCCCGCCGATCTACGACATTTCATGTTTCTCCATGCGCGCGGTTTTACGATTCGCCGGAGGGGTTTCGGTAATTCTATCGAAAAACTACTCTCTAGCACAAAGAAGAAACACGTTGCGCCGATGTAGCCAACGATGACAACTGTCCGCAGGCCGGTCGAGTGCGTCGCTTTTATGGGGATAGCCGACCACGCTGCCGCAGCGGGACTTGTGCTCGCGTATACGTGTGCGCCTCGTGCGTATACGCGTTTACGTGCACCATGTACCAACGTGTGTGTATCGTGCAAGTGCGCATTGCCGCGTACACACGCGCACGCTTACTTTTATCCCTACACGTATGCACCGCCGAATAGGATATACCCGTTCGCGCGCGTTCTAGCCTCGACGCGAGAACGGTGTCGTTACGTGGCCGTGTCGAGATGCATATACAAGAATAACAACGCAACAACGAACGAGAACAAGCGAAAGAAACGAAGATAGAACAGGGATTAATCGAGAGAAGCCGTGTCGTCCGGTGTGTGATACCTCGATCGCGGTGGGTGTCGCGAATGACTGTACTGTCCAAGAGGTGTGCGAGAGCGCGCCGCGCGTGTGGGTGCTACCCCCACCCATTTACCATCACCACCACTATCGCGATTCCCACCACCATCGCACCGGCTCCCGGCACCACCACCATACCGCGCACTGTGCACCGCGAATACACCGCGATCACACACTGCCAACCATCCAACCTTAACTTCTTTCGCCTTTCCTCGTTTCACCCACACTCGCATTATTTCAAATATCTCTTTCCCCGCAAGGTATTTCTATCAAAATCACCTGCCTTTAACCTGCTCCTAATTCTAAATTCCACCCTGGTCCCAATCAAGTAAACGAACTCTACAACCCTTTACATTCGCTCCTGATACATATTGATGAATATTTTGGAACCCGGTGGAAACGAAAGCAGAAGACACGAAACGGAACGGTAAGCATCCACGGGAGAATACATCAATGAGCTAAGCTATGCACCATGAATGGGAGCCGCGATCTTGGCGGTTTTCAATTCCCTGCTCGTTGGGAATTCTCAACGCGCGTCGAAATGACGTACACGGTTAAATGCGTTTTATACGATGCAAATTCATTGTATGCCCGTCGCATAAGAAAAAACCTTCCCAGTTACACATAATCGATATTTGTAGATCGATGAAGCAGCGTTTAAACATAGAGCCTGATCCTTGAATCCCAATCCAGGAAATAAAGAATTCAAACGGATTCGAGAAATCGCCGGGATAAAAGAAAGAATGGAACTCGAATGGTATCCTAGCTTATGCCCAGTCGGGACTGGCAGCGGCAAACCCGTTACGAAATCGTCCCTAAGACGGGGTGACTAATTGCTAAGCGGCTTGTAAAAATTCGCAGGACAGTCTGTCGACGTCGTGGCGCGCGATCGTCTCAACGCCGCCGTCGTTCTCGTCGTTCTCGTCGTTCTCGTCGTCGCGTTGTTATACTTTTTGCCCGTGCACGGTCGACTAGAAAAGAGAAGCGACCGAGAGAAGGATCGAACGAGTGAAGTTGAGAGGAAAAGGGTGTTCGGATGGGTTGGCGAGGAGAGAAGCGTGTGCGTGCGAGGCCTTAAGGTGAGAAAAGAAAAATGGCGAAGAGAGGCCGAGGCTGCGTCGTCTGCGCGTTCGAAGGCGAGAGGGGACGGCGCTTTCGCAGATTCCACGTGAGATACCTGCGGCATTCTTCGTTCTGCACCAGGCATTAAGCCGGATGCACATTCGTCGTGGACGACGCTCGCTGAATTCATTTCCAAGAAAAATATCTTCCGCCTTGAAACGAATTTTACGGCAGATTTTGTTCGCGGCCCGCCGCGCCGCAGCCTCCCAGCATAGACGACGTTTTCCTTTATCTTTTTTCTTTTTTATTACTTTCCTGCGGGACGCGAGCGAGGATCGTCGAGAGGGAACCGAGAACCGGCAATAAAACATCTAATCCGGCGATAAACCGCGCGTGATTCTTCCCCCTGCGACGTTTACGCGTCTCTGACACGTTTCGTGCGCGCCACCGATGCGCACTAGATTCGAGCTGATCCTTTGCGCAGCCCTCTCTCGATTCCGATTGGTCGACGCAACCGCGCCGACGCGCACGCGCATGACTTGCGATATCTATTCGATCCTTTCAAATTTGTATATTTGAAAAATTTCATTTCCAAGGAGCAGGTACAGACGAGAAAAGTAATGGCAGTCGTTCGGAAGGAAGGAATAAATAATCACAGATGATCTCTCTAGCTATTTCGAACAATTCACTATGGAAGGTGGCTCTCGACGAAAGAAGTTTTAGCAAAACAAATTATATAATATCTCGTACGATCACCGTGAAAGAAAGAAAGAAAGAAAGAAAGAAAAAAGACGCGAGGAGAATTCCGTATTTTGCAAATAATTATGGAAGATGATTCACTGAGAACCGTGTCATTGTCAACAAGACTACCTGCCGATTGCGTCATCCGTATGCGAATTAATTTCGCAACTTCCCATTATAATCTTAATGCTTTTCGGTAGGTCCGAGTTTAATGGGCACGCATCCGTTCGTCGACTTCGACCCCGTTTACCGATTCCCAAAATAGAGCCGTAAAGGTGTAATCGACGTAACAAGGATTTACATTAGCGAACCCTTATATCTGCGAACGATCTGCATCGGCTCCACGTGCGATATTCCCTACGGAACGATCCAGACTATTCTCGTCTCCCCGTGTTGCTCGAAGAACCTAAGGTCGTCTCGATATCCGCGGACCAAATTTACATTCTATCCGCAGCGATAGAATCATCGGCAAAAGAGAAGCGGAGATATCGCGTACGCCTCGCAAAACTGGACTCTGCTTGCGAAATCGAGGCGTTCGGGGTCGAATAAAAATTGTTCAGATTCCGATGGAAACCGTAGATAGGAATCGTAAAGAGGGGTGGCGCCGCGCCGATTCCAACGCAACGACACAAAGACCACCAAAGGAAGAAGAAAAGAAAAGAAGAAGAAGAAGAAGAAGAAGAAGAAGAAAAAAAATGATTTATTTCAATTCTCTATCACGGTTGTGCGTCCAATTGTGGCGCGAGAAGAGGATCATTCGCGCGAGACCACACGCACAATGAAACAAGAAGAAACTCAATTACTTCGAGGAATTATCGGACCCCTCCTCCTTTTGTGGCGTGCGGCTTTACGATCGAATTCTGACGCGGCGTTTTGCGTTTTCGCAGGTACGGCTGACGGACAACGAAGAAGAAGAAGAAGAAAAAAGGAGGTCAACGAGGAGTGGGAGGAGGAGGAGAGACAAGAAGAAAAAGGGTGTTAAGGGATCATCTGACCGACGACTATTCACCGAGCACGGCTATGACAAATCTAATAGATTCTTGGCGACTTAGGGTGCCACCACCATAAGAGGGAGCACAAAAAAGAGAAAGGAACCGAGAAGAAGAGAAGGAGGAAGGTGGAGGAGTATTTCTATTCAACGTTCGATGAACGGATGTAACGCTTCGTAGAACCTTCGCTTGGTCCCTTTTAACAATGATATCCTTTTCTCTATGCGACCAACAGGGAGAGAGAGAGAGAGAGAGAGAGAGAGAGAGAACAGAGAAATAAAGTCAAGCCCAACGTCAAGCTCACCTAGAACGCTCTCAGACGATCGCACAATGCTCATTGTCGGTCCAACGTAGGAATGCAGGGTGTTCGGTATTGTCGGCGCACGCCAAATATATCCCTCTCCTTTAACCACCCAACCTCCTCTGCTCGAGCATTATTCCATTTCTTCTCTCTCTCTCTACCATCTATCATGCTTCGTTTTCTTATTGGCCTGCATATTAGCTTCTTCCTCCCTTACCCTCCGTTGATTATTGTCCACCCGTTCCATCGTTCGCGCGGGACTTACGTACATTGATCTTCGTGGTTGTGACAACCATTCTTTTTATTCTTCTTTCTTGTTTCTCGAATATTCTCAAAACGAATTCGGACAACCCTAACGTATCGTCGTATTTCTAAGGAACGATGATGAACACTTCGAAGATTATTTATAGAACTCTGCCTAACAGGTTTTATAATTAACGTTGAAAAAAATTACTAATAAAAAAAAAAAATATCTCTTCCACGAGGAAAAATAAAATGTTGAAAAATAATGTAATAATTTTTGAAGGATATTAAATCGACTTCCATCTCATCGAGCTTGTTTGGTGCATTCGAGAATCGCTGTTGAATATTAATGTAAGAAAGTGAGGTGAGCTCATCGGTGAACGTTTAGCGCAGTTTTTTTCGACGGTTCGACTGCAACAGGTAAAATAAATCTTGCATCGATACTTTTTTTCACTTTCACTGAAGAGACACGGGTGGGCGAGAGAGCGGCTTACTAAGTTCGTCAAGATTTTATTCGACGTCGACTGAGACGTATTAAATGCCATTTATATTCAGTGTATTTCACACGCTCGTGTGGTAATGTGCCGTTCGTCGTGAATAAAAATCGCTTATACGAGAATTAGCTAACGTTACGAAACCAGCAAATTTCTTCTCTCTAAATTCACTTGGAAACGTTATTTTGCAACGAAATACACGTTTTCTATGCTTCACCTTCGATAATTTACACCTTTTCCCAATGGTACTGAATAATAAGATCGAATGAAACGAACCAGCCAGACTAAGGATACAGTTGTACTACTTAAAGAATACCTCGCTCAAACTATTTTAACATTTTATCTATTAAAAGTCTCCGAAATTAAATAATAAATATCATTTTCAGTTATTAAATTCCTGAAATTTAGTATAGAAGTAAGTAGTATGAATAATATCATAAATAGCAATTCAAATATTCCCGCGCAAGCGTTCGTATGCAAGTGGTGGTCCACCACAGACCTATATAAAGGGGACCCTCCACTCATACATCGTCAGTCTCCCCGCGACCACTGACGAGGTGGGAAGGGGAACCTACAGGGGAGGGGGTATCGCCATTTTTCGCACGAAAATCTACTATGCTCGATACTGTACAACTAGTAATTCGTTCTATGATATGATTAAAAAGAAAAGAAAAAAAAAAAACATGCGACTCACCGATCGTAGACAAAAATCTGGTTACATCGCTGCAGAGGCTGCTACCCGAAAGAACCCTCGTAGGAAATAGTCAGGAGTCACCGGGGAGGTGATCAACAAAAAACCAAGATCTGTAATAAAATGAAAAATTTGTTAATTATTTGTAAAATTACTAAAACTATTAAAAGACTGGTCAGACAGTATGTTTTTTTCCTCTCATTTGAAAATGGTACAGAAATCTTTTTATTCGCTGTCCGTCTAGACAGCGTGAAACACGGTGAAATCGCTTGAATCGTGAACGCGATGAATACAAAAGAGACACCGAAAGGCATCCGATTAATTTCTGTCTGTCCAATTAAGAAGTCGTAGGGGAAACAACACGCGTATCCCGATGAAAAGAGCAGGTAGATCAAACGGAATTCACCCCGAGAAACTTAATTTCGTGTCGAGAGGAAGAGCGTTGAATGGGCCACCCCATGTTATTCGCGCCGTTCACGAAGGGAACACAAGCCGGAGGAAGGAGAAGCGTGGTTGGTCGCACAAAAGGAGCGAAATCTTTCGGCCTCTGCCGCCGAAAGGCAGGATGAACGGTTTCCGCGGCACCATTAATCTCCGAGACAATGGCCAGGCTTCTACGAAAAACTGAACCGGACGGTACAACGATGAATAAAGTTACCACTATGCTGGGTAGTTTCACCTGGCCACCCTACGCCTACGGATAATCCGGGCATCGAGTGCGGAAGCACGTTTGATCGTGCAAGCTACCAGCCGAAATCGTCGACCGGTTGTCCTCTTGTAACGCACAGTGGTTCCCAGAAGGAAGAGCAACTTGAATTTCGAAAATGATCTTTAAAAAATATAACGAACCAAAATACTGTGCATGAATCGTAAAACGAATTGTTTAAAAAACATCTGCTCCGACATGCCATTTGGTCTACATTTGTGTATTTGTATTAGAATCTTGTATTTTTCATCCTCAATGAAAAAAAAAAAAAAAAAAAAAAAAACAAAAAAGCACGCGAGATAAACTAAACTATTTATTATTAGCTTTCCTTTTCATGATTTGTGTAAATTTTGGAAAGAAATTTGAAAATTTGATTGCAGTGTTAAGAAGAACGTGTCTGGGAGCCACTGTAAATGAAGTCGAATGCAGAAGAGCGGATGGGGGCTGGAAGGGAACAGGGTCGTACAGAATTTTACAGTGCGCTACAAGGTGTAAATAACGCCGGGGCCGGTATACCAGCGAGGACAGGAAACCTCGTGGTCCGAATCGGTTTACGACCTTCCGGCGCCTCGGACCGCGAGACACCTGCCCTGCACACCACTCCTCAGCCTCTCACCTTACCCACCGCTTCTCCCGCTGATTCTTGAAAATACTTGCCCCTTCCCTAACGTACTGGTTCATTCAGGTAAACCCGGCTGTTGCTGAATGCTCGCGCAGACCTTGATCACGGCTAGGGAACCTGCTATTTTTTTCCATCCACGCGATTCTACCTTCTGAACAATCGCAGTTTTAACCCTTATCCGGATAGTCTATTTATGTAACTTGTAATACAAAAGTATTAATAAACAATAGAAAATGAAAATGTAAATTATCATTGCCGCAGTGGTTCACCTTCCTCCATGATTAAATGAATGAAAATTAGGCGCGTGAGGTACGTCGGGCTCGCCTTGATCGAATAAGGGTTAAAGTGTCCGCGAAATAAAAGCAACGGACGCAAGAAACGATGAGAAATGTCGTTGGTACGTTTTTCGAACGCGTTACGATACGAAGGCGCGGTGAATACCGAGCTGGAATGGTATAAAAATCCGCAGTGTTCGATAGCGTTGTTTTATTTACGACGTCCAGACAAATTCATTACGATAAACGGCGGAATAAAAACAGTCGCGGCGCGCTGCTGCAGTCCCCAGCCGCAACGAGGTCAATTAATTACGGCGCCAAAGAGGAAAAATTCAAATGAACGCAGACCTGACCGTGTGTTTTTCTTATTGCCGGTAAACACCAGTTTCTGTCGTCGTCGCGTTAAATAATGAGCTGGTACGATCGCGGGAACGCGCCTTGAATCCTCCAGTAAGGATTACCGATTCCTAACCGACCAATTTTTATGCTTCACCAGTAACAATCGTTTCCTCTATATTTCGATTACAATTCCGCGGTGATTCAAGCGGACTCAACCTACCCTTACCAGGATCGTAATAGGCGATTGAAAAGGGAGAGCGTTCCACTCTCGATCAACAGAATCATTAAGCGCAACGTGCAATTATTTCATGTCGCAATGGCAACCTTTCGTCGGGAATTAACGCTAACAATGTTCTGTTTACGTCTCGTACGAGAATAACATCGGTGCCGAAAGTACGGACCGTGTACAACCCATAGCCCTCGTTCGAGGCACGCTCGAAATTTTGGCGCACACCAGACATTACCATATATACGCGAGTTTCCCAGGGAGGGCGGTAGCTAAGAATCTGTGTCATGTCGCGTAAACGTACTATAATAATAATACACTATAAATACGCTTCAGTGAGAAACACACTGACGGGGGGGAAGGGGGAGAAAGAGAGAGAGGGGAAGTATATGCAGGCGCCGGCGCCGGCGGACGGGTACATTACACGCGCCAAGGAAGTATTATCCATCCCACGTATGCAACGTACTCGCTTCCTCCCCTCTTTGTCCCTCCCGTTCTTCTTCCTACGTTTTCCACTCTCTTACCTTGTTTTCCCTCTTGCTCGCTCTATCTTCCTCTTTCCTGTCTCGTCCATTCTTTTTTTCTTTCTCTTCTTTCTGTTCCCACCTCGCTGTGTCCCTCTTGATTTTTTTCATTGCTCTCTCTCTCTCTCTTGTACCTCTAGGGGCGACTTAAGCCCGGTACACACATTAAATCATTTACCTATTACACATACCGTGAAAAAATGAAAAGTTGGTTGATGGAATGAATACAAGTCTAATTAGTTGTATCTTAATACTTACGTTAGTATTTTTGCTTCAACGTTACTTCAAGAAGTATCTTGAAATGAAGCACCCTTAAGAGAACACGAGGGCATCGCATGTATGCGGCTACATTGTATCCAAGTGTGTACTTGACTTTAGATTCGCGCCAAACTGACCGGATCACGGGCGCCGTCCCTTGTAACTGGCTCGGTTGAACGACCAACCGGCTCGATCTCATCTTTCCATCCCCCGTCCTCTTCCCATACTTGTTTTCATCGTCGCGATCGAGCTAGGAGAGCTCGTTAGACGCGAAATCGATCTTAATTTCTCGGAGTTTGAATGGTCGCGCGAAACCGAGCCCCGGGTATATCGGTTCACGGTGACCACTTGTCAAGCGTCGTTCGATTTAGAGAGATTCACTGGTACGGCTGGTTTCAAGGGGGACGGGTTTTAGAAAGCAGACGCGATATTTATGACAACGTTTGTTGTTCGTTTCATTTTCTTTGCCCGCCATTACCCCGCCGCCCGGACATACGTATTGCCTTGCGCCGTAAATCATCCAGCCGGGAAGATGATAAAACGTCGTTCGTTAAAATTTTGTTTCTGATAAACTAGTTCCACGGAATCGGTTGCCTTTTCTTCCTTCTTTCCTTCTTTTGCCCGGTGAACGCATGACGCATGGCTCGTGCTGGGCATCCAGCATCCGCGGCTTCCAAGTGGTCTGCTCTTCGACAACCAGACGTATCCTCCTGATATATCGTTCCTGAGGGAGAAACGTGGGAAACTTTTTAATAAGCGAAATTATAAAATCGAAAAATCAAATAGCATTTCTATCACCGATTCCTGAAACGTTGAAACTCGATTATCGAGATATTCTAATCAGTCACGGTACGTTGCAGCTAATTTTAATATCGTACTATCCGCGAACGTTCTTCGTTTTATCGCGTCGAAGCAGCTTCATTTATCAACGGCAACGAAACCGATAAAACGACTGAAATCGTGCGCGACCAGGGGTAAATTAGAACGGAACCACTCGAGGGGACACTGATCGCATATTAATGTACCTTATCAGAGAAATTATAGAAACGTAGGTAATGCATATACTAATCTGCAATATCATAGTTATAAATTAACAATAAGGTCTTATTACTCGATTTAAAAGTTTCAAATGTCTCTCATGTATAATATTAATAATTCAGTTACTTATTCTGTCGGTGCGTGCCACTTTCGACGACTTCTCCGGTACATAAATATGAAATACGCGTATGTAAATAAAGCGTTCATAATATATGCGCATAATCGCTCTAAGTACACACCCTGAGCACCGATCCATGCTTACGTGTTTGGTGCAGAAATATTTCGCCCTTCTGCATCCGCAAATATACGTTCCATTAACGCGGATCTATTAACCGACGCGACGGCTGGCAGTGCCGCACACGCGTTTTTCGCATCAGATCGGATTATCGCGAGCGTACAGTAACGTCAGAACGCTTTGAACTTTTCATCTCGGACCCTGTCATTCCCGGAATCGTATCGATACATCTTTCGACAGCGTAAACGATAAAACGACGTTCGCGTGGGTCGGTAAACAAACCCGTAGCACGAATAAAACAGCTGCAACACGAGTGATTCCTGAATTATGGTAGCCTATCGTGAACATGTTTATACAGGCGGTCCTAACTTGCCAACACGGATAACTTCCTCTTTATAGAAATAAGTAATAAATTTCATTGCGTGAAAATAAAAAAAAATATATATATATGTCGCAACAGAAGCCTGATCCGACAGTATGTTGTACCGTGACCACCCTTCTCCGCGTTAATTTATAAATAGAACATTTATTACAAGTGTTTCGAAAGAAAATAGCTAATAACGAGACGGGTTACGAGCGTAAACGAAACGGTGTCTATAATCAACGTTATATTGCCCTCGACTGTACGAAGCGGACGGGGTATTATTCGTCCCACGCGTTCGCCCATTACCGGGGCCCTCCCTCTCGCTCGGCGCGTTTTAGCCCGTGTGCACGTGTTTATGTAAATTTTCGCGCGTATGCACGCACCGAGTGACTTATACCCTGGCAGCACGCATCGAAACGTTATTCACGGTGCGAACATTAAGAACGTCGCCCGGCACTCTCGGCTACGCCCGACGAAAACCACTCGACGCCGGGGCCGGGGCCGGGGCCGGGGCGCATCGCGACCGGTCGAAGGAGATCTCCGACGGCTTCACGAGCCACGTAGCAAGATCGATGGCTCGTAATTCTCGAGCAACGAACCGGAGGAATCTTGGAAGACCGCCGAGTTCGTTGTAAAGTACACAGCCAAAATTGAATACCGATATTTCAGGAGCCGTCGACAGGTATCTCGTGAAACTTCAGCCAAGCTTTATCGACCGTTTCATCTTTCACGACGCTTCCGCTTAACTTCGAGCTTTCACCACCTCCTACTAGCTTGGGCGTACTTGAAATTCTATTTGTCCGTTGTTCGACGAAGCGCCGGCTAATCCGTGGAAAACTGTCGGCAACGGCGACTTCCTGATCGACTACCGTTGCAGACTATGATGGATGAACAGAATAAATGATTTAATAACATGCCGTGACTATCTTTAAAGTTTAAGGACAGTTTAACGGAGAGGAAGATACCTTGGGAAGAAGGAGTCGGAGTGTCAAAGTTAACTTGTTTCTTCTACCGTGTTCCAATGCTGTGGTATATCTACCGGTGTCCAGGGATCCGGATGTCCCACGAAGTGGCGACGACAGCGCTGAAATGAAATCAATTTCGTCCAGAGGAAATGCATACTATTAAATTCAAGTGGAGCAACATGATTTATGTAAGAAAAATGATCTCTGCCTCGTAAACCTATTTCCACCTCTGCAAGAAGAATACTCGGATCTTACGAGGTGGATAAATAACGGTTGTTTCTCATTTGGATACTAATTAACGGTATAAGACGAAGAAAAGCTCTATTTTCATTATAGAGAAAGGCGAAATGTCAAAGGCGACTCTGCGCCGCATGAAAAGCATATACATATATATTTCTCGTTGTCTGACCGCTTCCATTAATCGAGTTTGCATGAGTAGCAATC